TAAAAACTTTAACCACGGGACAGAGTCAAATAAAAACTATAACCACGGGACAGAGTCAAATAAAAACTATAACCACGGGACAGAGTCAAATAAAGTCAGTCAATTTTTCAAATCAATCTTTATATGAGAAAATCTGCCAAACTACTAAAAATGTTTTTCTAAAACTATTTTAAAAAATATACTGTCTCTTCTCTGAAAGAGTTTTTCTTGAAATAATTTATAAATAACTAGGCTTTGAGGGAACTTCGCGCCCATTTTCTATTTAAATTGTGAACATGTTCTTTTTGTTTACATTTTAAAATTACAAAATTAAAAACCTTTAAAACACATTTTTTTTATTTTTTTATCATTCATAAACCTTCTCTGTGGTCACGTGATGTCCAACAAAAAAATTTGGGCCTGATCGGTTCAGCCGTTTTGACGTTTATTGGATACAAACAGAGAGACAGACAGAAAAACAAACAGACAAGCCAAATTTATATATAGATTTAAAATTTATAATTTTTCTTAATCCAGTTTTGCTACAATGAACAATATCCAAGAACGTCAACTTGTAACTTTGAATCTTCAACTTAAAGGGAGTTACCGGCTATGTAAGGTAGTTTAACTGAGAACGCAGTGTTGTGGAAAACTTCTTTAGGATTCATTTGAGACATATTTCACTTTTTAAAAGTCTGTAAATCCTGAGTTTGAGTGCAATTCGACGTTCAAAACTCCTGATTTGGGAGTGGATACGCTTTAATTAGTTTTTTTTAAATTATTAATTAACGACGACATAAAATGTAAAAAATATTCTACAATAAACTACAGACGTCATGTTTAGGAACATTTAGAGAAAATAAAAATTAATCTTATCATCGAAAATAAGTAATCTTGTTCAATTATTAGTTTCTATTATCTCTTTATTCTAGTTTCTCGTTATTCACAAAGATGTTCGCAGATTTTCTATGATTATTATTGAAAAGACGACATTTAAAGAATTTGAAGAAATCTGCGAATGAATTTAAAGAAAATTAGAAATTCAATATAATAATGAAAACGAATTAATTGATTTTAGCATTGATTTGTTGACAAATTTCTTTTGTGAAATATGTTCCTAGCCATCTAATTAGATTACTGTAAAATTTTTACTTTATTTTTCGTTGTCGTTATTTAATAATTAAAAAAAAACTAATTCTGAAAGCGTATCCACCCCCAAATCAGGAGTTTTGAACGTCGAATTTGCGCTCAAACTCAGGATTTACAGATCTTTAAAAAGTGAAATATGTCTCAAATGAATCCTAAAGAAGTTTTCGACAACACTGCATACTCAGTTCAATTTCCTTACATAGCCAGTCACTCCCTTTAAAGGGACTGTCAATGTAATTTCAAGTGCTTCTCCATTTAAAGAGGTGTTTGCCATCAAACGCTTTAATTATTTATTTGGAGAAGACATCTTATCTTCGTTTTTCGAGTCTGAAAAGTGTTTAATTATCAAAATTGCTTTCATTGGGTCTGATGAATAATCTTTAAATCGATTTTATAGAGAAACCACGGTCAAATATTTTCTATTTTATGGCGAAACCACGGTCGAATATTTTATATTTTATAAAGAAACCAAGGTCGAATATATTCTGTTTTATAGGGAAACCATCGTCGAATATATTCTATTTTATATTCTTGATCAGACAAAGCTTTCAAGGGTACTCAAATATGAATCTATAAATAAAGGGTCACTTAAAATTATGGCTACAGTCCCTTTAAGTTTAAAGCCAGACCATCATGATTTACCTATAACACTCTACATTATAGTCTACAGCAGGATTCAAGGAACCCTGAATAGAACATGTCTTGTCTAGTTAGAAACTATATTATTTTAATTGACGCGATCATTCTCAGATTGAGTTTATATGTTTTTCTTAATACCCCTCGGAGACTTTAGAAAGTTATGTTGTTTAGAAGGTGAATGGATAAATTAATTAAAATTGAATGGATTTGTGGAGACTCGGAGTTTGATTAAACTATCAACCTCAGGAGAACAAACTTTATTCTTATACAATACAGAAGGAATAGCTTAGAGGTTAGAGAAGGTTATATACTCCCGTTGGAGGGGGGGGGGGACTGGTGGACTCGGAGGAGGGGGAGGAGGAGAAATTTAAGTACTGCACGCGCGGCCGGCTGAATGTTACATTTTCATGTAAAACCTCTTTTAGATAGCAGATGAGCATTGATAGCAGTTGAGACTGGAGAGAAAACGTTTTGATAGCAAGTGAGGCCTAATAGCAAGTGAATTGATAGCAAATGATCGTGCTCCGACAGAAAGGAGAATAAGGGAGTAGATAGAAAGGAGAAGAAGGGAGAGGATAGAAAGGAGAAGGAGGGAGTGGATAGAAAGGAGAAGGAGGGAATGGATAGAAAGGAGAAGCAAGGAGTGGATAGAAAAGATAAAGGGGGAGTGGATAGAAAGGAGAAGCAGGGAGTGGATAGAAAGGATAAGGGGGGAGTGGATAGAAAGGGGAAGGAGGGAGTGGATAGAAAGTAGAAGGAGGGAATGGATAGAAAGGATAAGGAGGGAGTGGATAGAAAGGAGAAGGAGGGAGTGGATAGAAAGGAGAAGCAAGGAGTGGATAGAAAGGATAAGGGGGGAGTGGATAGAAAGGAGAAGCAGGGAGTGGATAGAAAGGATAAGGGGGGAGTGGATAGAAAGGGGAAGGAGGGAGTGGATAGAAAAAAGAAGGAGGGAGTGGATAGAAAGGAGAAGCAGGGAGTGGATAGAAAGGAGAAGCAGGGAGTGGATAGAAAGGAGAAAAAATAAGTTGAAAAGAATTGAATATAGAGGGAAAGGGGAAATGGTTGAAAGGATAATTAATCGAATTAAAAAGTTAATTGTTCTCCTAATCCAATTCTAACCTGTCTGTGTGAGTTGGAATACTTCTTGAATTCATTTTCAAATATTTCTATCACAGAAGTTCAGAATTTCCAATATTTCGATTTTTCTCGGAACAGATTTTAGGAAATGTCAAAGAGACACGAAAGATCAGTGTTGCAAACAATAAAATATTGTCTACAGTGTGTCCCAATAAACATCGGAATTAAGTAAAGACTTTTAGTTCGATCGTCAGAAGCAACTTTAAAAAACTATATTACTTTTTCAACTCTTAAAGTGTGGTCTGCGTGTTTTGTGCCTTTAATATTGACAATATGAAAATAAGATATCAAATAAAGAAGTCAAATCATAGTAATGTTAAACGTTTAAAGAAGATTAACTTTTTGAAATTGAAACCTGTTAAGGCCTTTAAAGATTTTTAATTCACTTTTTGGTCATTCGTTTACTTAAACAACTACGTCTCTATAGTGTTAAATTCTTTTTGCAATTATTTCTGGACGAAATGAAAAAAAAATTCTTCTATTCTCTATTTATCCGAGGTGTCCGAGGAGAAAGTTTTTGATTTAGTTTTGTTTGCCAGGGTATACACTTTGTTTGGCATCCACCATGCAATATCAGGGGACATTAGTTCCAAAACTAACACTTGGCCCATTTCTAACACAGAGTGTTAGGTTAGAAATGGGCACAAATTGAAAGACTGAGGTCTTGGGATAATAATTCCACTGGGAAGATTCAGATATCTATCTAGAGGGTTTATATTTCCACTGGAGGGTTTCAGATATCTTTCCAGGATTTTATAATTCCCTATAGTGGTAATATAAACCCCCTGAAAGATATCTGAATCCCTCCAGTGGAATTTAAAACCCCTAGGCAGGATATCTGAATCCCTCCAGTGGATTTATAAACCCCTAGGAAGGATAGTCTGAATCCCTCCAGTGGAATTATAAACCCCTAGGCAGGATATCTGAATCCCTTCAGTGGAATTATAAACCCCTAGGCTGGATATCTGAATCCCTCCAGTGGAATTATAAACCCCTTATTAAAGTTTAAAGTTGACATTTCTTGTTTCAATAAATAGTTTTATCCATTTCTTATAAATTATTTTCTTTGACTGGACTTGGATTTAAAGATATAAACGTTTGAAATAATAACCTTGCAGATTTGGTCCATTTCTAACACTCAGTGTTAGAAATTGGCCAAGCTTCAGTTTTGGAACTAATTTCCCCTGAATATACAACAGCAAGTTTGCAAATAGGTATAAGATGAGCATCGTTTTGTGAACGAACGAAATTGTTGAGATCGAACAAAAACGGTCGTTTTTTACTGAACGAACGAATTTTCCGAGAGATTTTGAAAAAAAAGATAGTTTTTTAAATTAAAAATCGATTTTACTTAACTATCGTACACTGAGAAAACAAACGAAATAGATAGAAAATAAACGATAATTTTGAGAATCAAAATAATTTTTTTAAACGAAATCGATTAAAAAACGAGCGAAATAGGTCATTCACGAATGATGAACGAACAGATTGTATTAAATCCGTCTAAGTTACATTAGTCCTTACAATACCTACCCGAACGTGGTTTATCAATAATTCTTCAAGCTGCTGATGGTCCTATGTACTGTAGGGCGGATACACACTTCATTAAAAAGAATTTAGTGTATCCGACCTACTGTAGGTCGGTAGAGCTTTCTTAAGTTGATTGCACTCTTCTGTAGGTCGGATGCACAATATTTGTAGGTCGGATGAACAACTCTTTTTAAGTTATCTTATTTTAAAGTTTTTTTCTTCAGAAAAATCCAATTTTCGCCATAAAAAACTTTAATTGATTGGTTCCGTTCAAAAATGCGCTTTTACTTAAGTCACAATATAAAAATATTAAATTTAGAGATGGCCCGCATTATACCAAAAGTCCTCAAATTTTCGAGATATCTGAGGAAAACTAAGAAAAGGACTTTTCATAAAAGGTCGGATAAATTTTCCCATTTTACTCCAAAACCCTGGGAGCAACTCCAAAATCCTGGGAGCAGCCACCCCTCCCTCGACGAAGTCGTCACTTAATTACTACGCTTTTTGTATAACCCTGTAATAAAGTGTTTAACTATGTATATATATATATTTATATATTAAACAACTATATTTTCTAAATATTGTTTTTTTCTCTCATAGTAAAATATAAATATAAATTCAGTATAAATATTTTAATCACATGGTTTATATCCCGACACGCATTAGAAAGTCGCCTTCCATGTGATTTTTGTTACATTTTCAGAGATTGTATTTTATTTCTACAATTAGTGCTTACTTTTTTCAAAAGAAATTGCAAAATTAAATCGTTTCTTTAAGTGTTGTTTTATATAAAAATTGTGTCTGATTTTTAACTTATAAATTGGATTACTCTTCGTAATTCTGATAAACAATGCTTTTCTGTTTCTGGGTTTCAGGTTTAGAATAGAAATCTTTATTTCGTAGAATAGGAGCCAGATCCCTCTCAAACCAACCAACAGCTACATCAACATCAACTTCATCACCGCTTCTGAAAACAAACAAATAACATCAATATCAACACAAACATTAACATTAGCATCCTCAACCTCAACCTCAACCTCAACCTCAACCTCAACCTCAACCTCAACCTCAACCTCAACCTCAACCTCAACCTCAACCTCAACCTCAACATCAACATCAACATCAACATCAACATCAACATCAACATCAACATCAACATCAACATCAACATCAACTCAACATCAACATCAACATCAACATCAACATCAACATCAACATCAACATCAACATCAACATCAACATCAACATCAACATCAACATCAACATCAACCTCAACCTCAACATCATTATCATCAGCATCATCATCAACATCGACATCAACATCATCATCATCATCAGCATCATCAAATTCATTATCAACATCAACATCAACAACAAAATCAACATCAACATGATTTCTGCTCTGCCCCGAACCTGTGAGCGTGTTCCAACAAAAGAGCAGAAATATAAGTGTGCGCCAGAGTAACTGCTAGATCTCGTCCGCACTGCTCCAAGATTTGAGGTTGCTCTGAGAGAAGTCGGAGCATCTTAGCCACTGTATCCTTTAGAAGCAGTCCAGGTTTACTCAACTTAGAATGCTCTTCTACCTAAAATAATATTTCTACAAATATAAGTTCCAGGAAAAAAAATAAGTTTTCTAATCCAATTTGTCTATAGTTTGTTATCCAGGATAAAAACATGTAGTTTATTATCCAGGATAAAAACATATAGTTTATTATCCAGGATAAAAACATATAGTTTATTATCCAGGATAAAAACATATAGTTTATTATCCAGGATAAAAACATATAGTTAATTATCCAGGATAAAAAACATATAGTTTATTATCCAGGATAAAAACATATAGTTTATTATCCAGGATAAAAAAACATATAGTTTATTATCCAGGATAAAAAACATATAGTTTATTATCCAGGATAAAAAAACATATAGTTTATTATCCAGGATAAAAAACATATAGCTCAATGGTGTCAGAGATGGAGAACTTTCCCAGATTTAGCGCGTTAAACTCAATTCAAAAGTTTTTTCAGTTGAGTTTAAGCTAAGCGCTTTCGCAATCAAAAGTTTTGTTCTCTAATGTCTAAGACATCTTGTACCCCCCCCCCCCCGCCCCCCCCTATTAATCTTCCGAGTAGAATAAAAACCCTTATTACCTTGTCTACTATATTATTAACCCGAGCACTGAATGCCCTGAGCACCTCCCCCCTTGTCTTGGTAATTGCCCGGACAACGTCCAAGCTCATCAAGCTTGAGGTCCCCTCCCAGATAGGCAGAACCTGGGCATCCCTAGATATATGTAACAAAGAATAATTTTGCCAATTACTTCTTGAAAACTTAAGCTAAAAACACGTGAACTATAATCATTTTTAGGGCTACAAACAACTTTAAGTGAAAATTGGTGCAACTTTTCATAGAAGCCAAGATCTAAGTGAATGACTGATATATAAATAAGTTAATTTAATATTGGTAGCGACTACAGAAATAAAAAAAAATATCACTGAAAACACATTAATAAACAGAGGCAGAATTTAAAGAATTTGAACCGCGGCTCAAATATGGTTGATTCCACCTAAAATTGTATTCAATGTTTCAAGATTTAATCCGGCGCTAAATTGAAACCGTTTTTTTGGCGGATTTTAGACACGGCTCAAATTCATTTAATTCGGACTCAGAACTAACATAAATTAAGCTAAATTAAATCAGCTGACTAACTGGGTCATCTTTACCTAAGCATAGACGGTAGACCTGTATCCTCTATATATCCCTGGCCCCCGAAACATTCAAGACCTGAACACTATCAGTCAACACACCAAAATAAAAAACAAGATCTTTAATGAGCTTGTAGCGACCCTCCGTTAATGGCTCTGGTATACCAGATGAACAATGATACCCTTTAAACCGTATCTGATCAAGGATACATGATATTTATATCCTTATTTTTCTATCTGGTTTTTCTGCTAAAGTGAATAAAGGATTCTAAAATAAAATACATCTTCGAAGTTACTTGGCTAGAGGTTTAAAGGGTACTCGGTACAGTTGTGTATCAGAAATGCCATTTTCTCTCAATAAAGGGTCAATTGAAATTGAACAGAACTCAACATCAATGAAATTTGCTTCCAGATAATAACCCGCCCTGAGTCCGAATTTAATGAATTTGAGCCGCGTCTCAAATCCGTCAAAAGCCGGTTTCAATTGAGCGCTGGCTTAAGACTTGAAACATTGAATACGATTTCAAGTGGAACAAACCATTTTTTAGCAGCGTCTCAAATTCAAGCCGCGGCTCAAATTCTTTAAATTCGTGCTCTGGGCAGATCAATAAAAATTTTTAAAAAAATGTTGAGATTTGATTGTAAAACCCCGATCTTGTTTTTAGTAATAAAAAATAAAATTATTTTACCTTCAGATATTACTGAAACTGCCATCTTCCCTGTATAGAACTTAGCAACCGGGGTCATTAAACGCATTAGGAGTAAATCCTTGAAATATTATTATATCATCATTAATTGTCAATGTTAACCTTGTTTTAAGGGACTGTAAATGAAATTTTAAGTTTCACTTACCGATTCACCACGGTACCCTTTAAACCTTTATCTAATTAATAATGTGGAGGATGTTTTTTTCGGTTTTAAAAAATTTAATTCTGATGATTCCTATCTTTTCCTGTCCTCCAACAGAAATGCGCAAGTCATTTCTGTAGAAAAAAAAACACAGTTAAAAGTAATTAGTTTTTCAAATTCTTAACATACCTGAGGCCGAATTTAAAGAATTTGAGCCGCGGCTTAATTATGGTTGGTTTCACTTAAAATTGTATCAAATGTTTCAAGATTTAAACCGGGTTTTGGCGGATTTAAGCCGCGACTTAAATTCTTTAAATTCGGTCTCTTATTGACAAAGGTTACCGTAGTGTATCGGGCATTGCCATATTTTCATGAAAGGTCACCAGAAATTACGCTAACGCTGAAAGTGGGCTGAATGTCACAAATAAACTTAAAGTTCAAAGCACACTTTCCAGTCGTCTTGCTACTGTCAAATTTCGTGGAACACTCTATATTAAAATCTCTGGATGCAAATATAAAACCTGATCGTTGATGGTATTTGTATCATGTTGACCCATCTGTCTAGCCAGGTCAAGCATCAGAATACAACAACCTCGTGTCTCAATCTTAAATACAGTGGGACCCGTAAAGCTGTGGAGTAAGAAGAAGTGGCCCAACAATCATAAAACACAGCAATAGACAATGTGCAGTGTGCACAGACCTTTTTCACTTAAAAAGTTGATTTTCATTCTACCATAGTAAAATTATTTGCTTTATAACAATATAGAAATCACATAAGATTGCTGAAATGTCTTACATTTCACAATTTTGTTTCGTTTCATTTACAAAGTTAATCAAGAGGAGAATCTTTATTAGTTATTGTTCATTAAATAACGAGATTTGTTTACAAAGGTTGCATCCACTTTCAGCATCTCAGTGTGGTCTGACAAATTTACTTTAAAAATCAAAATAATTCCACCTTCAGCCTTCATTATAGTTTCTTGATAAGCTACCTCCATTTTGCATAGTTAATGAATAGCATATCTTCATTCTGCCTAATTAATGGATTTCCTACCTCCTTTTTGCATAGTTAATGAATATTCTACCTCCATTCTGCATAGTTAATGAATATTCTGCATAGTTTGTGAATATCATCCTTCCATTCTGCATAGCTTCTGGATATTTTACCTACATTCTGCATAGTTTATGAACATCCCATTCTCCATAGATACTGGTTATCCTACCTCCATTCTACATAGTTTATAAATATCATATTCTGCATAGCTTTAGGGTATTCTACCTACATTCTACAAAGTTTATGAATATCCTACCTCCATTCCGCATAGTTTCTGGATATTCAATTTACATTCTGCATAGTTTCTGGACATCTTACCTCCATTCTGTACGGTGTTAGAATATCCTACCTCCATTCTGCAGAGTTTCGGGATATATTACCTCCATTCTGTAAAGTGTTTGAATATGTAGAGGAAGTGAGTCAATTCTGAAGATGTCAAAAATAGAAGCATTTTGAAATAATTGTTAGAATATTTAAATTTGTAATGTCAAGATTCCTAATCCAAAGCAAAAAGATCTAAATATAATACTATTGAACATTCCTAGCTCCGACTAAAAAATGAAATTATATTTCTGAACATCCCTAGCTCCGATTAAAAAATAAAATTATATTTATAAACATCCCTAGCTACGATTAAAAGATAAAATTATATTTATATACAATTTAACATCCCTACCTCCGATGAAAAAATAAAATCATAATATTTATATACAATTAAACATCCGATTAAAAAATAAAATTGTAATTCTGAGCATCCCTAGCTCCGATTAAAAAATGAAATTATGTTTATATACATTTAAACATCCCTAGCTCCAATTAAAAAATTAAATTGTATTTCTGAATTAATTAAAAAATTAATTAAAAAATGAAATTATATATCTGAACATCCCTAGCTCCGATAAAAAAATTAAATTATATTTCTCAACATCCCTGGCTCGAATAAAAAATGAAATCATATTTCTGAACATCCCTAGCTCCGATTAAAAAATGAAATTATATTTCTGAAAATCCCTAGCTCCGATTAAAAAATGAAATTATATTTCTGAACATCCCTAGCTCCAATTAAAAGATAAAATTATATTTATAAACAATTAAACATCCCAAGTTCCGATTAAAAAAAAATTATATTTATAAACAATTTAACATCCCTAACTACGATTAAAAGATAAAATTATATTTTTATACAATTAAACATGTCTAGCTCCGATTAAAAGATAAAACTATATTTATATACAATTAAACATCCCTAGCTCGAATAAAAAATGAAATTATATTTCTGAACATCCCTAGCTCCGATAAAAACATGAAATTATATTTCTGGACATCCCTAGCTCCGAAGGCAGTTCTCCTGGTTGCATAATCTCGAGCTAAGCTTAATATTTTCCTCATAGCTCCCACACTCGAGATAGTGTTATGTAATCTAAATTTTAAAATTTTAGATTTTCAAATAATTGAATGGAGGTGGTTTGTGTGGGGGGGATTAGTTATAAGCAAATATGTAGAATATAGTCAAAATACAGAATAAAAGAAGAAGAGTACTTATCTATCTGGACAACATCAACATAATTTCCTGTAAATTCACAATAGTTTAAATTTTTTAAAGCTTTTTTACATCAAAGATTTATTTAATGGAAAAAAAAGTCAAATTTTTTAACAGTAACACCCCCATCAACCTTCTTGAAAATATAACGTAAATACCATTTTTTTCTTTAACAAATTTTTCGGAATCATCATAAATAAGATTTACCTTATTTCGTTTGAAACTAATCAATCTTTGTTTAAAAAAAAACCTTTAAAAATTAACCCCCACCCCCTGAATGAATTTTAATGATATTGTTTTATAAATTCTACCAGTTTTTTTTTAATTAACCTAAACTTTCCTATTTAACTTTTATGCTATAGGAGTACCTTGTAACAGTGAGCATACTAGATATTGAAGCTATTCCACGTCCCTCCTCACTCACTAGCTCAGCAGTAGTTCCATCTGAAAGGGAGTGTTCACTTAATTTTTAATTAACCCTCTTCTTAAAGAGTGCCTTTACCGATACAAAGGTACCCATTCAAACAAAATTTATGAAAAAATCGTTGTTTTTCATAATTTCCAAATTTTAGTTTCTCAATACAAGTGACGGTATCTTTCTATCTTTCTCATAGCTTTCGGAAAAATGGTTAAAGGGAAGGCATTGTGAATCAGGCATGCAGCTCTGAAATTGGGGGTCATTTAAATTAATTTAGACATTTAATAAAAATAGTTAATCAATTGATATAGAACACGTGGAACGTTTTAATTTGTTCAATCTCAAATATTAGATGAATCTAAGCTTTGGAACCTTACATTATATTAAACTAATCTTTCTGAACATTTAAAATTGTTCCATTTTTAATGTTTAATTAATCAAATAAAACATTAAGAACATTTAAAAGTATTTGTTCCATCCTTTTTTTTAATTATCCATGAAGAATCGTTCTTAGAACTAGGGAACATGAAATAAAAAACTGACTTTATAGATAGAACTATAAAAAAAACTAAAAAGATCTGAAAAAACCTAATAAAAGTTCAGCTGTTGGAAGTTGTCTGGTTCCAAGTTTGTTCTTCATTTTCACAACCTAGAATATTGTATAGTACACACAGCAGAATATTTTATTATACTTTACAATAAAGATTTTTTTAACTTAACCAAATTGTATGTACTGCAAACATATTAAACATTACAATTATAATTCTTCGATCTTATTTCAAATTTTTATAAATATACTGAAATAAATTAATTTTTTTCTTTAGATTTAAATTTTTATTATTCAAAAATAATTTAAGGTTTAATGTTGCAATGTTAGGAATAATGTCTACATACTCGTTTTCAGTATTTAGGTTTTTTGTTAAAAAAGTGCATTTTCTGACTATTTAAGTATCTCATTTTTACAAGTTAAACGGAAAAGGAAACAAATTAAATTGATAGTTCTATTTAATTAAGACGTAATTTAGTTGTTGTTTATGCTATAAAGGGAATGACCGGCAATGTATGGTAGTCGAACTGAGAATGTAGTATTGTAGAGTAATTTTATAGGATTAATTTGAGACCTATCGGACGGTGCATATTTGTTCAGTAAGAGCATAAATTCAATCTTTAAAATACTCATAGATTGTCCATTTTGGAGGGATGATTTTGAGAATCTGTATTCTATAAATTAATAAATGACGACCACAAAAAATGTAACAAAAATTCGACAGTAAACTAATAAGTTGTTTAGGAACAGATTGAGAAAACAAAAATTAACTCTTATCATCGAAAATATGATAATCTTATGAGGAAAAAAATGTAATAATGGAAATTCTTAAACGAGATGAACTAATCTTGATGTATTCTTTAACGAAGGCCACAGGCCTGAGTTAAAGAATGCATCAAGATTAGTTCATCGAGTTTATATCATACTTGTGAGGTTCTATGGGCACATACCCAAGAAATTATAGTAAAAGATAATTCTGGTGAAATCCGACTATTTCAAGTTGGAACAGTTAACATTATGAAAGGTTGCAAATAAGTTTGTTAACACAAATTCGAAATATAAGGAAGACAATTTTACCGACTCAAATGCCGTCACCTATTCTCAAGACGTGTGTATCCATTTCCGCCATGAAGCACCCACATGTCACCCTCGCCCCTCTAAACATCCCATCCCCAGCCCTCAGTCAGGTTAGGAGAGTTGAGCTAGTAACAGCTCTGACACAGGGAGCCTCTTGACTCCTTTATGATGATGACGCAGATACTCAGCTAGCAGCAGATGTGTTTACCCGAAGGGTTACCAGTTTATCATGCGTTCCAGAGACAACATAATCGCTCAATCGGATCATGATAAATCCGCGATCTCTGCCTACTAGGTTGGATAAGCCCTGTTGTTCCAGTTCCTGTTGATCTGCTCCACCAACATGAAGCTCTACATCACTCCCATGAAGTACCCACAAATATTCATCATTAATTCCTTTGTTAATTTCTAAATCAACCAATTTTAACTCCGCCTTATGTGCAAATATTTCAAAACTTTCGTTTTTTTAAATAAATGTTAGAAATATCCATTATAGATCTCTTTATTTTACTATAGTGACTTTTAAAGTCAACAAAGTTGTATGCTCTTGTTCTGACTATCACTGTTTTTTATTTTTCAAATGTTAAAATGTTAAAAACCAATTTATAAGTAAAAATTGGTTCTTAATTTGAAAGTAATGCATGTGGTGCGATTGTTTCCTTAGTTTAGTCTGTTTGTTGATTTTGCTTGTTTTTTCAAGTTGATACTACCTTAGACACAGCATGTTGAATGTGCTCTGAGTTTTTTTAGATGGAGAGAAGGTATAGTAGTAGGTTGTCTGATGAAGATCTTTGTCTTTTATTTATGAAGCACGATTTATTGGTTTGTTTTCTTTGATATGGAGTGCTAAGACCCCAATAAAAGTTTGTGACACTAGTATTTCAATGATTAGTTTTTATAGAATTAACTTTTTTTTGGTTTTGATTGTGGTTTCACTTCATCATCTCGAGCTATGCGAGATATGGTGACGACTGACTCAGACTGAGATACTTTAGAACTAGTTTTAGCTGTGGGGTGGGGGACAAATCGACCTTTTCATTCTGTCTAATTTTTTAATAATTACAAATGAATTTGGAATTTTGGAGACCCTTTTTAATAAAAAGTGAAAAAAACAATTGATTGAAATTTTGAAGACATGACAACCTTTCCTTTTTTGAAAAGCTCTGACTGTACTATTACAAGTATGCAGAGATTTGTAAAATAGTCGGCAGTCTTTGAGACTCGGCAGTTGGATGAAAATGTCCAATGTAAGGCTTAAAGCATTGTCCATTTTTTGGAAAGGTCAGAATTTCAGAAAATGTTAATTATACACAGAACTAGGGTTGAGATTTAAATGAATATTACTGAATTAAGGTATATCAATACTTACAAAAACGAAAAAGGTAAGTGAGCATGATATTTAAGGTAAGTGAGCATGTTTTACTAAAGTATAAAAAGGTAAGTTTGCATGTTTTAATATAAAAGAAAAAGGTAATTGAGCATGTTGTTTTAAAGTATAAAAGGTAAGTTTGCATGTATTAATATAAAGGAAAAGGGTTAGTTTGCCCTGTGCATATTGTCAGTACAAAATAATTAAGTTAATATCAATATTGATCTATGTTGAAAAGATCAATATAAGGAGCGTGTAAGAATGAATATTCTTCAACTAGTGTAAGAATTTCCATTCGTTAATGCATGGAGCGTGTAAGAATATACATTCTTTCACGCTCTGACCATGTAATAATTTCCATTCTTACACGGTCTGAGCGTTAAAGAATGAAAATTCTACACCTACTGTGAAAGAATAAGCATTCTTAAACGTTAGAAAGCGAACAATACTAAAATTGTTCCTCCTGAACAGTGTAATAATGGGAATTCTTACATGATAGGTTTACTACTATGGAACCAAACAGATGTGATATAATAGTTAATCTTATTCAGTTATTAGTTTCTGTAATTTCTCATTGTTCACAAAGATTTCTGTAGATTTCCTGAAATTTTTTTTGAAAAGGTAAAGGTGACATTTAAAGAATTTGAAGAAATCTGTGAACAAATTTGTAAAGAATAAGAAATTCAATATAATGATGAAAAGGAGTGATTTTTAACTTTGATTTATTGACAAATTTCTATTGAGCAATATGTTCCTAAACATCCAATTATTTTACTTAAGAATTTTTGTTTCATTATTCGTCGTTGTTATTGAATAATTAAAAAAAATGATTCTCAAAATCATTTCTCCGGAATGGACATTGGACAATGAAGGAGGGTTTAAAAAATTGAATTTGCACTCTTGTTAATCAACTATGCACCGTAAAAACGTCTGATAAGTCTCAAATGAATCCTAAAGAATTTCTTTACAAAACAACATTCTCAGTTTAACTTCAATTGCCAGTTGCTCCCTTTAATAAGCATAGGTTAATAGTGCAGGTTTTGCAGAAGTGTTTATACAGAAGTACTGAAAGTAGAGAGCTTCTAAGGTTTGTTTGGTTTGTATCCCCTCACATATTTACAGAAATGCTGTAAGTAAACGTTAAATTTGTCATATCTATTATTTAACTAGCTGAAGAGCCCGGCGTTGCCCGTGAATTTTTTTTCCCAGGGCATGTGTTTCCTTAAAAAATTTCAGTCAATTTATACCAGCCGTTTGGCCAGCTATAGCTAACATATAAATAAATATATTTGAACGAAGAGCTTTATTATATAGAAGATTTCATTTATTTTACTAATTAACATTTATTTTGTTACCTGAATATTGTTCAGTTGTCCATCATCATTTCTTAATTTTAGGTAGAACATACTTAATCCCCTGCTACCTTTAGTAGCACCATCCTTAAACATTATTTAGGTAGAACATACTTAATCCCCTGCTACCTTTAGTAGCACCATCCTTAAAAATTATTTAAGTAGAACATACTAAATCCCCTGCTACCTTTAGTAGCACCATCCTTAAACATTATTTAGGTAGAACATACTTAATCTCCTGCCACCTTTAGTAACACCATCCTTAAACATTATTTAGGTAGAACATACTTAATCTCCTGCTACCTCTAGTAGCAACATCCTTAAACATTATTTAGGTATAACATACTTAATCTCCTGCTACCTTTAGTAACACCATCCTTAAACATTATTTAGGTAGAACATACTTAATTTCCTGCTACCTCTAGTAGCACCATCTTTAAACATTATTTAGGTAGAACATACTTAATCTCCTGCTACCTCTGGTAGCACCATTCTTAAAAATTATTTTGTTAGAACATACTTAATCCCCTGCCACCTTTTGTAGCACTATCCTTAAACATTATTTAGGTAGAACGTACTTAATCCCCTGCTACCTCTAGTAGCACCATCCTTAAACATTATTTAGGTAGAACCAAATAGATTATCAAGTACAATAGGTGGCAACAGAGAAATGAACCAATTATACACGACGTCATAAGTGTGAAATATAACAAGAAAATAAATTTTCTCACATTAGTTGACATGTTTTTCAAGATTTAATATAAAAGTGCAAAAATAGAAAATAAAGAATACATTTAATTGCATTTATTTTACTGTAACATAAGCCACTTTATTCTAAAATTATCACTATTATTAATAATTTTGTTGGATACAAAAAGTGAATTGGCACTTAAGACGTCAGAATACTGTTGTACTGAGAGTGTACACATTCTACGTTGCCATCTATTGTACTAGAATCTATTTGGGTAGAACATGCTTAATCCCCTGCTACCTTTAGTAGTACAATTCTTAAACATAATTGTAGGTAGAACGAGATTTAGTATTTATAGAGGGGGTTGACGAAATTTCTTCAAGTCCCATCTCGCAGGACTCAAAATTGGCCATGTTTATTTTGAACATTTACAAGACAATAAAATATGCGATAGTTTCTTAGTTTAGTATCATTATTCAGTATCGTTAATTAACTTCAGGCCAACCACTCAAAATAACCAACCCTGGTTAGGCGGGTCCAAACTGCATAGTAAATTGTGATTGCTTATTTGTAATATCTCATCCTTTGTAGTTGAATAAATATATGAATGAATAAATGAGTTCAGTGGTAGATACTTCCCATTTATCTGACTTGTTTGCATAAAACAGCGCTACGTGACCCTTTGATAAAGACCCAATAAAAACAAAAATCACTATCATCAATTAATAACTAGTTGTATCTAGGAGTTAACACTTTTGTTACATGATGGCAGATTTATTTTACTACCTGATCATCCACTATCCTAGCCAGGGTTAGCACCATATTTGAGTCTGTAGCAGAAGAAAACCATTTATATCCATGAAGATTAAACAAACCAGTTTCCTGTAAATACATTTGAAATGATTTTTAACAAATTTATCCCTCATTAAACAGTTTAAAATTCCAATACATTTGTATCTCTAAAAATAGTTTGTCTAAATGTTGGCTTTTGTTTTGATCCCATAAACGTTAGAATATCTGACCCTATCATGTATTAAGGAACCAAACCCTGAGTACAGCATTACAGAATGTCAGGATTAAATAAATCTATTTTTCTGAATTTTGAAATTATATCAATAGAATGAATTAAATCGTCCATTTTTGTTTTATTGTTTTATCTGATATGCAAAGATATAAAAACATTTTGTAAAAACCACAAAATACGGACCAGAGCAACAAGATAAGAATTTATCGCGATGTAATAAATTTTAAAAATGGAATTAGCGAAAGATCTGACCTGATGGAAAGCTAGGGTTTCTGTTCCTGAACCAACATCAGATCCTCCTCTTTTCTCAGTCATCCATTGTCCTTTATAAATAAAAGATTTTAATCAATTAAAGAATGCATTTTAAGGCTTTGGGGAAAAAACTTCTTGTGTATAATTACAATTTCTAAGATTTTATTTCTACTTTTCTACATAAATTCATTAATATTTCCAAATATATGATTAAATTTGCTAAAAAATAATTATTTCTTCTTAAGGACATAATTCATCAATAAAAGCCACGCAAAAAAAACATATTGAGTAAACAAATTTATTTAAAAAATTATCTTGAAAAATACAAAAAAAAAACATCGGAATTGTGAAACTTACAACTATGTCTACCTGAAGTCCTGAATTTCGAAACTATGTCTATATGAAGTCCAGAGTTTAGAAACTATGTCTACCTGAAGTCCAGAATTTAGAAACTATGTCTATATGAAGTCCAGAATTGTTAGAAACTATGTCTATATGAAGTCCAGAATTTATAAACTATGCCTAACTGAAGTCCAGAATTTAGAAACTATGTCTACCCGAAGTCCATAATTTAGAAACTATGTCTACCAGAAGTCCAGAATTTAGAAACTATGTTTTCCTGAAGTCCAGAATTAAGAAACTATGTTTTCCTGAAGTCCAGAATTTAGAAACTATGTCTACATGAAGTTCAGAATTTAGAAACTATGTTTTCCTGAGGTCCAGAATTTAGAAACTATGTCTGCTTGAAGTCCAGAAATTAGAAACTTTGTCTACCTGAACTGCAGAATTTAGAAACTTGTCTAACTGAAGTCCAGAATTTATCAACTATGTCTACCCGAAGTCCAGAATTTAGAAACTATTTCTACCAGAAGTCCAGAATTTAGAAACTATGTTTTCCTGAAGTCCAGAATTTAGAAACTATGTTTTCCTGAAGTCCAGAATATAGAAACTATGTCTACATGAAGTGCAGAATTTAGAAACTATGTCTATCTGAAGTCCTAAATTTAGAAACTATGTCTACCTGAAGTCCAGAATTGATCCGGGTTCCTTGATATCAAGTGTTCCCAAGCTTCTTCTGGAATTTTAACAATCTTTTAAAAATCCATTTTATCAAAAACATTTACGAAATATCAAACAAAATTTAAAACGGTACCTAGCGGGAGTTTTAAACTATGAATCGTCTTTGCTGCACCGTCTGTCATGGCCAGAGGGCAACTGTACAGACCAGACGAAGGGCTGTACATGTACAGCTTAGCACACTGGTACAATCTGCTGAACTCACCCTGGTTCATTAAATTAATTTTATTTCTTTATATATGTGATTTTTATTGAATATTAAAGGGTCTGTAAATTTAATTCAAAGGAACCCTCATTTTTTAGGACAGACATTTCCGATTCAAAACGATACTCTTTAAATCTCGTAGCAAATATTCATTCTAGAAAACTTGATTATTCATGGGTTCAATGTCAGCAGCTAAGATATTGAATTTAGAAACATTTACATATATGATGAGCTAAACTTCCTTGCAACAAACCAGAAATATCAGACTGAATTAAAAAAGAAGCAGAGATTGGCAGAATTCTGAACCAATGAATAGATAAAAAGAGAAAAAAATTGATAAAAAAAACTCTTTAAAATCTTGGTCGGATCAAGAATGAGTGGGATTATTTTTAATTGTCGCTACTATGTAGAAGAGATTCGTGAATTTATTTTAAAGAAAAAATGAAGAAAATTAACAGAATTGATCTCTTTTTGATATAAAAATGACGAGACATTCCTTGTAATACCGTGAGTGATGTCAAATTACTTTACAAAATTCAAAATTACTTGTTAAAATATTTGACCTGTTTGTTTTCGTATGGAATTGCGATTAATCCTTCTACAGCTGATATTCTCTTCTGTTCCTTCCAGGCATTACAGGTTATAATATCATCCACTCTTTTTCCCCAGGCAGTCGTCTGCCTGTAGGAATACATTATATGTGCATGAGCTTTTTGCATGTTTAAAGGAAATTAATCAAAGAGGCTTATTTTATGCCTCGTAAATCAGCAAGCTTCAAAAATTTTTAAATTTTGAGAAAATCTGTGGCAGGGGAGTATGTCGAAAGTGCTGGGCATGCATTCTAAAAAAACACAACTTTTAAACATATTAGGAGTGGGGGGTTTATCAAGATATTTAGTTAGTTTAACCTGAGATAAGGGGGGTTCTCCTCACACTCTCTTCCTAGCTTCCAGATATCATCAGCACATCTACCCCCAAACCTTAAGATCCACATATCTAGTAGATCTAACTGGATTTATATATGCCCTCTTTTATACATAACTGGTTAAGGTTCTAACTAATTATGACTGGTTTTGACTGGGTCTGACTGGTTCTAATTGATTCTAGCGGGTTCTAAATAGTTAGAAATGGTTCTAATTAATGCTAACTGCAGGTCTTACTGGTACTAATTGATTCTTTTTAACTGGTTATTACTGGTTCTTAATGGTTCTACCTGGTTCTGCCTGGTTCTACCTGGTTCTAACTGTTTTTAATTGATTCTAACTGATTCAAATTGATTTTAACTGGTTTTAACTGGTTCTAACTGGTTCTAACTGGTTCTAACTGTTCCTAACGGGTTCTTACTGATTCTAACTGGTTCTACCTGGTCAAGTCTGGTTCAATCTGGTTAAAAATTTCCTTAGGAAGATTCAGCTTGAAATAGGACTGTAAGAATCCGTCTGATTAAAATGCAGATATAATTTTCTAGTTAACTTTAAAAATAAATTATGCACTGTTTTTATTTAATAATACCTGAAGTCCACGAGTTTTGGTGTTGAGGTTCAGCCTGAACAAAATCTCCATGCTTAGCGAACGCAAATCCACATTTTGATTTGTCTTGCCCTAAAATCAACAAACACGTTTACTCTAGCATTCGATTTACTAAGAATACCAAGAACTTTAACTGATTCAAAAAAGTAAAATTTCAATATAATTATTACCCTGATTTGACTGTTCTGTATTGGATTTGAGAACTGGAAGGTTCAGTTTACTTGAAGAATATAACAATCTAATTCTACTCAATCCATTTCCTGTAAACATAATCTTAAAATATATCGATTAAGTAAGATTCATAGGAAAAATGTTTTTCGAGTTCCCCAAACAAACCCATGCCTCAGGGGAAAGATGGTCGAAATTTTGTTTCCCAATTACGAGGAAGAGAAAACTATATCCCCCCCTCCCGTAGTATATATATGGTTTTATAAATAACTAAATTAAGGTGATAAAATTAATATATTAAATTACCTGCTCCAAGTAATTGAAGATTTGTGAAAATAAATGAACTGTGCTTGTAGCTTGTTGACAGTTTCATTTTAAACCTTGATCTGAACTCTCTGAATTAATTGAAGACTAAGAACTCTAAGAACTTTTCTACTTTCTTCTTAACACACTGTTAATGAGATATAATCAATGTTCATACAATTACAAATAAGGTAATTTCCTAGAGAACGATTTTTGGACCCCAGAATTGAACCAGGTCTGCAAGCCTTACTTTGAGTTTGAATTGAATGAACTAATAACTTGTTTATTTTGACGATCAGCTGTTTTGTTCACAGCTGAGAAAGGTGCAATGGGAACGAACTTTCAGGAAACTACACGACAGGTTAGCCGACGTTATATGTTTAAGGGTATATTGATAGCATTCCGTTGAGAAACTACCCGGTGGAACCACATTTAGACATACTGCCGTTTAAACTTTTGATCATTTGAACATATAATTCTTCATATCTTAAATAAATCAATAATGATACAGGTCCCACGAAACATATGACATAATTTTAAGAAATAGTTATTTTAGTAAACAAATCTTTTGCCTAATTATACTTTACTTTGAAATCAATTGTAATATAACATGACTCCCATATCATACTTTCAGTGATCTTTGGTATCAAACAATTCTGAACAAAGGATAAAGACATTTTAAGTTATGATCATGTCTGTCATGTTTCGTGGGACGATCCTTGTATATACATATATGTTCAAATGAGGAACACTTAAGATAGCGATCATTTGAACATTTCAGTTGAAATATTCTTTCGGTCATTTGAACTATGTTTTTTGCTAATTTGAACTATTATTTGGCTCATTTGAACAATTTTTGCCATATTTTTAACTTTTTTTTGGCTCATTTGTTGAACTATTTAATTGGGCAGCTGTCCAGTATACAATTTTTGGACCCCCCCCCCCCTTAATATCAATTTTGTACATATTTATATTGTATATTATTTCAGGGTTATATATTCATGGGTTAGGTTAAGACACTTTCTGGGCCAAGCACTTTCGCTAAGAACTTGCTAGGGGGCCGAGCCTGCGGCCAATTAATATGCAAGATCTTGCACTACGTGTACATCATGTGAAATATAACGACAAGAATTTTCAAAGAATATTTTCCCGTTTTTTACCCGTGCTGTACACAGGAGAAATCTTCAAGATTGTGAAAAGTAGATTTACCCCGAGTACACAAGGATCGGGTCCGTGAATTAATCACGTGAATTATCAACTAGTTCTCCATCATGCTAATCTCGTGAAAACCTGTGTTTTGTTTGTTCGGTATTTACTGGCTCATTTGCACTATGTTTTTGCACATTTATGAACTATTTTTTGCTCATTTAAACTATATTTTGCTCATTTGAGCTATTATTTGGCTAATTGGAACAATTTTTGGCTCAATTAAGACTATTTTTTTGTTCATTTGAACAATTTTTTGCTCATTTGAACTATTTTTTGCTCATTTGAACTATTTTTTTCATTTGAACTTTTTTTTTGCTCAGTTGAACTAAATTTTGGCTCATAATTAAACTATGTTTTTGCTCATTTGAACTATTTTGTTTGCAATTATATTTTTCGGCTCTTGAACTATATTTTTTATAGTTCAAATGAGCACCAAAATAGTTCAAATGCTTACAGAATGTTATTGTTTGAACTACTACACGTGGTACCACATGCAATCGTTCAAACGACCAATAGTTCAAAAAGTCAATAGCTCAAATTGTAGTAGTTCTATCATAAAAGCACCGAGACTACAATCATCCTAAAAATGTCGTCTTTAAAATTGATTTTTATATAATAAGAACGTACGTGTAATGCGGCAATTTGAACATCTAGTGCAAAAGCGTAAATAGTAATACACGCAATCAGGCAGAAAATTAAAATAGTTTTTTAAACAAAATGAAAGGCTTGGAGGAAGTTATTTCCGTGAAAAAGAAAATAGAAAAAATATTAGAAGACGCAGCTCTTCTAGAAGCTGAAGCCCCAGAAATGATTCGAACCCTGTCCAAGCTAACCCTGGATATAGATATTCTTCGGAAATCTAAGATTGGATTCACTCTCGACAAATTGAGGAAATCCACGAAAGATGAATCGATCAAGAAATCTGCCAAAGACTTGTTAAAATCTTGGAAGAAAATGGAATCTGTTAACGACAAAGATGATAATTCAAAGAAAGAAAAGAAGGCAGGGGTTTATTTTATCATTATGGATTAAAATTGTAAATCTTACATCGGTCCCGACCAAGTCCCAAGTAAATTCTAAGATTTTGTTTTGCCGTAAAATTGTGGATAGCCTTCTTCAAATTAAGTCGATATTTTCAACGTTAACTTTCGTTCCAGCAGAATTAACCAAAGTATCTTTAATTATTCCCTTAATAAGGACAATTCCAAAATACGGTTTCTCCTTAAATTAACTTGTGTATTTAGTCAGCAGATAAAGGGTCCGACAAAATCGTTCTTTAGGACAGATCTCATGCATTTAAAGATATCGATATTTTGTGCTTATATCAAGGTGAAAAGGGTGCTGTTGTGAATCGAAAAATGCTAGGGGTCAATTAAAAGTTTGCAGTTCCTTTAGTAAACTTATCATATATATAAACCCTGTGCAGAAGGAAAGTAGTTCAAGTGTATCGGGTCAATCTAACCCTGGGTTCGAGATATCTGCACCCCTTCCTACAAGACACAAGAACGGATATCTTGTATTTCCGGACCAAGATGATTTCAAACCTAACTTAACTCCTAAAGAAGTTCTGCAAGCCGGAAGTTTCGGAGGAACCTACTTCAGACCAATATACTCAAGCGTCACAAAGCAGAAGTACGGAAAAGAAGTTTGGGAGGAACTCCCTAAGGATTGGTTAGAAGGACTCAATATTAGAACTCAAGTCTCGAGTTCCATCTATGACGAATCTAAGAACAAGTACAAAGTAAAGTGTGGAGCAAGCCTAGAGGAATGGGAGAGCTCCGGGTGGATGCGAGAACAGGATCCGTATGGCTGGTTCCAATGGTACTGCAGGTTCTATCAGGGTAGGAGAACAGAAGATGATGAAAGACAGATCAGCAGGTGGAAGAAGTGTGCGGGAGAAAAGGGAAGATGGAAGAATAACCTGATCTCGAAGATTGCCAAAGCGGGAGTTGCGTTTGATAACTACGGTGTATCTCCTGTGGTTCGTCAGACCCTTCAACACTGGGCGTATTGTCTTACAAAGCCTGATTATGAGAAGAATGCTAAACGCTTCAAGTAGCGCCTCATGCTCAACTCTAACTTACTACACTATTGTTAAGACCAGTTTTAAAGATATTTTTCATAGATAAACTTATTAATATTATGTATGGTATTAAAGTTATTGTGTTTAAAGACTGAATTATAATCTCATGTATTAACAGTAAAATAATTTCAGATGTGGAAGTGATTGTTTCCTGTATAAGATGTTTTAGAAAGTCCAACCATGAATAAAATTTTGGTTTTGATTTTTGCACAATTTGTTTTGGGAGATTTTGATATTGACGACTCTGTTCTGTACAAAGTAAACTTTCCTGGCTTCAAAGATGTTTCAGAAACAGGGGGTAATAACTTAATATAATTAAAATATCGATTTGTTTAATAAATTATGATTTTATAATTATAGTCTTTTTGGAATAAACTGAAGGTAAAGAGGTGTTTTGCGTCCCCATTCCTAATTTTCGCTGGCTTTTCGGTTTAAATTGGCGCATTTTGTAATTAAGTAATATTGACAATTTTAAGGACAACATTTTTATCTTTGACGGTCCATAAATCTTACTTGATGTCATTTGAGTTGCCACAAAAAATGAACCTGATTGGTTCAGAAGTTTAGACGTTTATACATACAAACAAACAAACAGTCAAATATATAGTTGTCTAAAGTGTAAAATCTAATATTTATTTATTAAATTAAAGGAAATGATGCCGTTAAAGAAGATATATTCTCTGAAGAAACAGAAACTTACACAATGATAACAAAAAATAAGGTTGGTACTCACTAAACAATGGGAATAATATTGTTCCGTTTCTTTTCATTAACTTACTATACTCACTTCAGTTGGATTGAATTAATTATTATTATTATTAAATCTATATTTGGTTTATTATGCAGTAAATGTTGTTTTTGTAACGTACACGCCTTAAAACTAAGTCCTAGATTTTTAAAAGAAAAAAAAATTTATGAAGAAAACGGATGGTTTTTTATCATGAATATTTATCAGGAGAAGTATGAGTGTCGGATCCCTAGGGTAAAGATAGGATCTGGAGATGGTGGAGAAGAATACTCTGGACCCTCCCCCCTCGGCATCATGGAGAAGTTATTCATAGAGATGTCCTGCACCTACAGGCTCGAGGCTTATTGGACATACGAGCTTTGTCACGGCAGGTAATCAATCATTATTACAACTACTTTTTTTAAAAACTAATAGAAAAGAGCTCAATTATATATATTATATATAATACTGCGAGTTTGTAAGGTTTCCTTTTTTATAATTCAAATTCTGAAAATACTATGAAACACTTTAAACTTAAAAACTCAAAGATTATTTCCCGTAAAAACGGTAGGTTTATGGTTTTAATTTTTTAAAAACTTTTATTATTTGCTAAATTAGTAAGGGACTCTAAGTGGAACTACTCCATGCAAAGATGGCAATACCTGAGGCTCAATGGCACCTTTAAAACCTTAATCTGATTAATAATGTGTTAGATATTGTCGTTTTCTAGGTGTAAAGGTGTTCAATTGTTTGGTTACTCTTATACTAGTTAATTGGTTACTCATAAGGTATCATGTCTTAGAAACAATTGTCCAGAACGGAAATAGAGGACTGTCTTGGAACTGTGATCTGCATGGGCATCGCCGGTACGAACGATCAAACACGTTCAGTAGGGAACCTATTGATCTGGGTTCAATACACAATTATGATTAGTCACTTATGGAGAGAAACTGGACAACCTACTTGCTTACAATGTTTACTTGAAGTCTTGAATCAAGCGCCCCACTGATAGGGACATTCTAGATACATCTTTCAGAAAATAATCAGTTTTCAAAGTTATTGAAAATGATAACTAATTCGTATTTGATCAGACAAAGCTTTTAAGGGTACCGTTGTGAATCGTGCATTGTTATCTTTGCATGGTGGTCTATTTAAAATGACGCTTTAACTTCCCATCAATAGAACTGAAAGAGTGAAGAGTGGGAGATAAATCTTTAAATAATTTCTGATGTTTAGATTTCTCCGTCAGTATCATGAGGAACGTGATGGAAAAGATGTCAAAATTCAAGAATATTTCCTCGGGAAATTCTCTAAGGTTGGCAACTCGGCTCGCATGATTTCATTTGATATAGAAATAAGGGGTTATATTTATTTTCTTCAATGTTTAAGACCAAAGAGAAAGAACAAATTGCAGTTGAAATAGAGAATTAATTTTATCGACGCCTTAAAAAAAAGTTTCATTGAATTTTGCTTTAGAGGAAAAGAATTTATTTTGTGTGAAACTATTTGAATATTTTTGGTAATAAGTATAAAGAAGAAGTTTTCTTCCCATTTTTCAGCAGAGACATCAGTGTTAGAAATACTGAATTATGTGGCCGGGTCCTAGCTTACAGGATCCAACTTGATAAATGCTCCATAATTGGTGGCAAAGAGAAGGGAAGGGGGATTTAGGCGTTGATAAGACAAATTCGTTTAAGCTGAAAGTGAGAATTTACTCCATCGAAAGTTTTACTGAATCATGTCTGGTTTGAACCATGTATTCAGAAATCAAAGATGTTATCCTGTTTAGGAACGTCTAGATGAACTAGTAAAAGAAGCGGAGAGGGATAAAGAGAATGATATTACAAGACATCCACCAACTAAGGTAACCCTGGTTTAGTACAAGTTCCTATTTAGATATTCTGTAATTAACATTATCAGCTGCAGCTTCGAATTTTGAATTACACACATCATATTGAATGTCCCTGTCAGGAAGATTAAAAATTAAATATTATCTCAAATGCTATGTATGATATCAACTGGTCACAAAACATTGAAGAAAATTTAGTCGCAAAATATTTAGAAGTTAAGTTACTACTAAGAGGAAGAAATATAATTGGCCAGTATGAATAGATAATGATTTAAAGAGCTAGAATCTAACTAGGAATAGATAGGGCGTTAGGGGTCTAGATAGGGCGCCATACCAGAAATCTTGTACTCTGCTGAAGCTTTAACTATTATAAAAAGTACAGTAATGGAACTTGAACGAATCCAAAATATGACTGGTAGGTTTATACTTTAGGTTTCATCTTTAACATCAAGAGCGCTGGCTTGGATTTATGCAGGACCTATGCCAATGTCGTATATGATCCTTAACAAATAAGCTTTGTTTATTATTTTTTAATATTATAAAGTCAAAAAAGAATTGAGACAATTATTAGAACACCTCGTGGATCCTTACACTATATCATGAATGAAAATTCAGTCTCAAGTAGGTTTAATTTCCAATTTTAAAAGAAACCCCTTTTGCAAGCTGCTATGACACTAAAAGCGGTAGCATTTGTATTGAGTGTTAAATGGCAACATTCTACTTTAAATACAACACCCCAGCCTTGGAAATGGTTTAAAATGCAAGAACACGTTAGTGATTCTCAAGCAAGTAAAATTGTATTCCAAGTCAGGGGAGGAAATGCTCAATTCGGCAACCGGTACAAAAACCGATATGAATTTAAATATGATTATTGCCAACACTGCAAAACATTTGGAATCCATATCAAGCTAGTAGAATCAAATGTTATTTTTGAATGCCTAATGGTAGCCACGCTCAGACGGGAGCTAAAAATATCTAATTATATGGCTACACAATGAACACATGAAGGCCAAGGGACCAATATCAAATGTTAGAACCTTTGCGGAGATGGTTCAAATGGGAAATCCCTAATGGGAAGAGGTAGAAAACTGGGAACCTTAATTGAAAAATGGCTTTTCAATGGCTAACAGCTGTGCATGAACCAACTCAGTAAAATACAGGAACTAAACTAGACAACTATATAATATTTATTTTCTTTAAATAACAAATAACAAAAACTGTTTTCTTTTCCCTGGCAGAGGTGTAAACTGCTTTTCAAAAAATGCTAACCGAGGCCGAATTTAAAGAACTTGAGCGCGCGCGGCTTAAATTTAAGCCGCGGCTGAAATATGGTCGGTTTCACTTAAAATTGTATTAAATTTTTCAAGATTTAAGCCGGCGCTCAATTGAAACCGGTTTTTGGGGAATTTAAGAGGCGGCTTAAATTCATTAAATTCGGACACTGGTTGGCTATTTATATGCCTCCTTACATATTCTGGCAAAATGCACTGAATCCTAAAAATTCACCGTCAGATATGATCCACTAGAAGTAGAACCCATGTAGACAAGAGTAAGTGGTTGGAGCTTGACCCTGGAGCTCAACGTAACATAGTCTACTGGACATGATACTTTAACTCTAGGTTGAATGTTAATAATAATAATAATATTGATGAATAATAAGGAAAACAATATCTAAAATAAACACTAGGTGTAGCAATTTTAAGACATTTTATAGTACAAAAATACAGATATATCTTTATTGTAGAAGATAGAGTCCTTAAACCTTCCATACTTCGAAATAACAATGGAGGATGGAACCCTCTGTGATCTGAATAATGCTCCTCGTAGAACCAGGGTTCTATATATCTGCTATCCAACAGGTACTTGAATACTCCATTAAGAACCAGGGTTCTTTATATCTGCTATCCAACAGGAACTTGAATACTCCATGAAGAACCAGGGTTCTTTATATCTGCTATCAAGGAAACAGGTGAATACTCCACGTAGAACCACGGTTATATATTTCTGCTATCCAGCAGGCACTTGAATACTCCACGTAGAATCAGGGTTATATATATCTGCTATCCAGCAGGTACTTGAATACTCCACGTAGAACCAGGGTTATATATATACTGCTTTCCTGCAGGTACGTGAATACTCCACGTAGAACCAGGGTTATATATATCTGCTTTCCTGCAGGTACGTGAATACTCAACATAGAACCAGGGTTCTTTATATCTGCTATCCAACAGGTACTTGAATACTCCACGTAGAACCAGGGTTATATATCTGCTATCCAGCAGGTACGTGAATCCTCCACGTAGAACCAGGGTTATATATATCTGATATCCAGCAAGTACGTGAATACTCCACGTAGATCCAAGGTTCCATATATTTACTCAGGGGTGAATATTTTTCAGACGGGGAAGGGGGGGGTGAACAAAATCTCTAAAGGCAACTTTTTTCATTCTTTTTGATACTTTTTAACCAAAATTTATTGATATTCCCACAAAATTCACTTATTTTCCCTAATTCAGCGAATTAAACAAATATAAGCAAGCCTATATTAGAAGGTATATTTTATATAACTCCTGGCCAAAATATATTTTTTCAAAAGGGGGGGAATATTTTCGAGAAAATATACACCCCTGTAGCTGCTATCTAAAATGCACTTAAATTTAGAATAATTTTTTTCAATTTAATTTCATTTGAGGTTTTAAAATTAGACTTGTTTAGGCAGAAATGAGATTTATCAATTGAAGGAAACTTCCACCTGTGAATATGAGGTCATAATTCTAACCTCTACTCTCTGCAGTCATCCATCCTTTAAACCTTCGGAGGTCAGCGAACACGGGATCTCCTGTAGACCAGTCAACAAAGAAAGGTCAGTTTTATTGTCAATTGATTTTTCAGAACAATTTAGGTTTATTTTTATTTAAATAACTCTTCTTCTACCCCATCGTATTTTTGTGATAACTCAAAAAGTATTTGAGCTAGGAAGCTCAAATTTTCTGACTTTTCTAACTAACACTTGCCCATCACCTAAGGCTAAAAGCTGGGCTTTTATACCCCTGCTGCCTGAAGTCCTCAGACATACTGCCTAAATGCCTTATTTACCTATACCAGACAAAATCTATATTTAGACCTACTTCAAGTTATTGGATTTCAACATTTCATAGGTCTTTGGAAAGCCTATAACAAAAGCAACCAGATTGCACAATTTTTGAGAAGAAATTTTGCACAGATTTTTGCACAGACGCCTTTAAAGAGAATTTGCACATTTTCACTTTTTCTTAAATACACATTTAGGTTTTAAAAATTCTGAAAATATTTTTGCAGATTTAAATTTTAATTTGTTGCAATTTGCGCAATTTCTTTTATCGCACAATTTTGCTTAATACCCCGATTTCGCAATAAATATTTTAATTTTTAAAAATTTGCCATTTTTTTCAGATTATTGAAGTAAAGCCCAAGGGCTTTCCTAAAACGTCTCTAATGTTCTAGATTTGTATCACAAAAGGAAAAAAAGAGGTGGGGGGGGGGGCAATTTTTCCCCCCCCCCCCCCCGGGAAACAGTGAAATTAGACGTCAGGGTAAATAGGGTTAAGGCTCTCTCATTTTATCTCCACAATTCTAAATTCTGTTCTCAGTGGCTGAATTTAAGAAAAGATGTTATCTGTTTAAGAGACGAAATGTGAAGTGTCCCTCAAATAATTGAATAGAATGGCATGTACAATTGTACATTGTTTAATTCACAACAAACCCCTTGAAAGCTTTGTCTGTATAAGAAATAATTAGACAGACGATTTTTTTTACAGAATGCCGCTTGAAAATAACAACTGACAGTCCCTTTTACATTATTTTGTATTCAGTGGGGACAAGCCGTCTGATCTGATAAGTATGGAAGCACAGAGCTCTAAGTTACGGAGTGAGAAAATGTGGGAAGCGCATATGCACGGGGGAGATAAACCTGGACAGGTAAAAATAGTCTCTTTTTTTGCGAATCAGTTAAAAATATAAGATTAATTCTCAAAATGATGGACTTCTTGAAAATATGTAATTCTTCGTCTTATTTTTTTGCAATACAACACACAATTTAAAAACTTCTGAAATTCCAATATTTCATTTTTTAAAAATTCACTCATTTTGCACCAAAATTCTCCGGTATCAAGCATTTAACTTTTTAATTACAGGTGAAGATCGAGATCCGACCTCTGGATCCAACCTCAGGAACCTCGGAGATAGATTTAGATTCCTTAGAGGAGGATATATCCTCAAGCAAGGTTAGATTTTAATCATACCATTTATTTGATTGATTTTATTGATTTGATTGATTTGATTGATTTAATTGATTTGATTGATTTGATTGATTTGATTGATTTGATTTTTGATTGATTTGATTGATTTGATTGTGATTTGATTGATTTGATTGATTTAATTGATTTGATTGATTTGATTTTTGATTGATTTGATTGTGATTTGATTGATTTGATTGTGATTTTATTGTGATTTGATTCATTTGATTGTGATTTGTTTGGTTTGATTGATTTGATTGTGATTTGATTGATTTGATTGTGATTTGATTGTGATTTGATTGATTTGATTGTGATTTGATTGATTTGATTTTGATTTGTTTGGTTTGATTGATTTGATTGATTTGATTGTGATTTGTTTGATTTGATTTGATTGATTTGATTGATTTGATTGTGATTTGATTGATTTGATTGATTTGATTGATTTGATTGATTTGATTGATTTGATTGATTTGATTGATTTGATTGTATAAATATTTAGAGTGCTAACTGGAGGGAGACAGTAAGGGAACCAATTAAACCTTTAATGGATCCTGAAGTAGTTAAACAGTTTCTCAGGTTTATTTGTAATTCTTTTTTCTTTAGACAGGGACCGGGGTTGTATGTATGGTTATGAATTTAAATTTAATTTTATTGGGCGGGAATTTTTTTGGAGGGTTTTGTTTCCTGAATCAGGGGAAATAATTTAAATAAATAATGTGTAGGCTTAAGTTTCGGGTTAAAGTATCAAAAAGGATTTTAAAAAATTGCTTTTTTTCATTCTTTTTAGGGTGACCAACTGCCCAGTTAAAAGGGGTTGTTGTACTGAATTATTTAAAACTGTTATATAGAATAATAAGGACATAAGAGAAATACGTTCGTTAGAGCGGAGTTCCGTGAGTGAACCCGCCTTGATGAAAGTTGATTACATAGCGTTTGCGCTTATACTCGGCATTTATACAAGCATCAAATGAATCTAAATATTTAATTCTACAATTTGGTGCTTTCAGCTCAACCATTTCTCTGTCTGGTCACTTAAAAATTTATTATGATATCTGAAATATATATATATATATGAAAGAAGTTTGAAATTCAGGGGTGAATACTGTCTGTATGGTGGATCAGGATGGTGGAAGTATGAGTTCTGTTACGGGAAGAAGGTTGATCAATACCATCAGGGGGAGTCGGTAAATAGTAATTAGACATCATGAAATTTTATGAAAATATTTTGTGTTTATTTGAAGAAATACTCATTTAGAATTATTCCCAGATAAGGACCGTCAATGGATCGAAATTGTCCCATTTTGATTTTGATTTTGATTTTGATTTTGATTTTGATTTTGATTTTGATTTTGATTTTGATTTTGATTTTGATTTTGATTTTGATTTTGATTTTGATTTTGATTTTGATTTTGATTTTGATTTTGATTTTGATTTTGATTTTTAAGAAATTTGAAGGTGCTCCTTTTATTGTCTGATAAAAAGATATCGGACGGAATAATGAGTGGAATGTTACTGCAACTCCTATTTTATCCAAATATTTTAGGGATCTAGAACCGTTATAAAGCTGGGAGTATTTGAATTGGAGAAACATTTAGATTGGATTCAAGAACATCCAAATAAGGTAAAATATAATGTTGTATATCTTTTTCCGGTGCTATTTTTTTTTTAAATAAAGAAAAAATAAAATTCACCTTTGTGTTATTATTGATAGAAAAAATTGTGTTTATTAAGAGGAAGGGGTCATCACTAGGGGTGTAAAGTTTTCGGTCTAGGCCCCTCAAATTTTCTGACTTTTCTAACTAACACTTGCCCATCACCTAAGGCTAAAAGCTGGGCTTTTATACCCCTGCTGCCTGAAGTCCTCAGACATAATAGGGAAAAAATTAAAAAAAGGGAAAAGGGGGAAGAAGGAAGGATTAAACCCACAAAAGTAAACTTAAATTTATCAAAAAACCGTATCAGAAATGCCTAAAAATAAAGTCAGGGGGGACCTTGAAGTTGACCTGTTTAGGGCACCTATACGTTCAAATATGCTACTAAAATACTAAAAAGTTCTTCGAAGTTTGCGCGAGCTTCAAAACCTGTAAAATATACCAGTTTTTTATGAGTCTGACAACTAGTATACACCCTGGTCATCACTAATATTTGTTTTGCTTAGAAGCCTAAGATGGGGGATGCTAGGAAACATGTCAGTCATTTTTACAGTTCAGGAGATATCTGTGATCTTACAGGGAACCCTCGTCATATAGAGGTATAATTACATGGAACCCTCGTCATATAGAGGTATAATTACAGGGAACCCTCGTCATATAGAGGTATAATTACAGGGAACCCTCGTCATATAGAGGTATAATTACAGGGAACCCTCGTCATATAGAGGTATAATTACAGGGAACCCTCGTCATATAGAGGTATAATTACAGGGAACCCTCGTCATATAGAGGTATAATTACAGGGAACCCTTGTCATATAGAGGTATGATTACAGGGAACCCTCGTCATATAGAGGTATGATTACAGGGAACCCTTGTCATATAGAGGTATAATTACAAGGAACCCTTGTCAAATAGAGGTACTTACTTAGGTATACACTCAGGGAACCCTCTCCCTTTTTATAAAGAAGAGACATGTATATTGTCTAAGACAGAATTGAAGTTTATGAAAAATTAGGATTTTTCACAATCATGTACACTTCAAATAGGATTTGTATGATTGTATTAATAATATGTTAGTAAGATTTCCTGCAGCAATTTTCTTTTTTAGTTTCATAATCACCATTTATAATTCACCGGGACATTCTGTTAAAAGTTGAATCGAAAAATATTAAGCTGGTTGTTTAGGTAAAACTTAAATGTAAGAAAGCTGATTCTCCCTCAGCTGTAACCCTCTACCTTCTAGAACCTAAACCCTGTGAATATGTTCTAGGTAGGTTCAAGTCAATCTTTAACCAGCAGCTTGATAACCCGTTCTTTTTAAAGTTCCCAGCTCAATTCTACTGACTTCGTGAAATAAATTAATTTTAATTTGGAAACTTTTCTCGAAATAAAAGTTCGTGAGCGAAAAATCTTTCAAAGAAATATCATCTGTCAAAGTCAGCCTTTAACAAAGTGTAAACAACGTAACATTTTATATTTTAACTCTAAGATTTATTAAACATTGCGGAATTTTTGAGGTTCCTTTTGAAAACCCCCCAAAAAACTTTGATGTTAAGAATGTGTAGAAAGAAAAGAAAAAAAAGCAATGATTAACACTAACTGTAAATAGGTGTTGAGAGTCCTCTTGTCTGTGATATCCTACCTCTAGCAGATCCTGAAACTGGTCTTATACCCCAGGGAGCTCTTGATAGATTAGGTAGCAGTTCACTCTTTCATCTTCTCCTGTTAATTAATTTTTCGGAAACTACATTGTTTTCAGCTGTGCTTAGAATCCGGATCCAATGGGCAAAATTCCAACGAAAACCTTTGAAAAATTTACTTTTAGAAATGAAAACACAAAGTTTAACACAAATGTTTTAAAAATCTTTAAATTTTGAGGAAATGTTCATGACCTGCGTCCGAATCATTTTTTTTCCCCAGGCGGATCCAGGATCCAGGTCCGCATAAAAATAAAATGGACCCTGAGCACTAAATGTAGGGGGGATTATGAAAATAACAAATGCCATGAAATCGACCGAAATGTAGATAATGTTTTTAATTCTAAGTTTTTTAGATAACCGTGATGATAGCTCTTTTGCTGACAGGTAATAGATCTTCACATACAAGCTTTTTATACAGAATTCATTTGATCAATATTCTTCCTTCTCCGACTCCTCTTTTCTTCCACTTATTCTTCTACTTAATAATCTTCCTTCTCCGAACAACTCCTCTTTTCTTTCACTTATTCTTCTTAATATTCTTTCTTCTCCAGATGACTTCTCTTTTTCACTTTTTCTTAGTATTCTTCCTTCTCCGGATGACTCCTCCTTTCTTTCACTTTTTCTTCTTATTTTCTTTTTTATTTCGTTCTATGAATTTCAGTTTGTTTTCTTTTCATACTGAACTTTTTCTTTCTTCAAACAAAGAATTTTATGGAAATACCAACTTGCAATTCCTCGAACTTTGATATTTTTCCTTATTTAATTTGCACAAATTTTTGTCTATCTATAGTTTACGTGATGGTGACCAAGCGAACGATGAAGTAGAAGATGACGAAGGACATGTTCTGACTAAAGAAGAACGGAAAAGATTGGGTTAGTATAGATTTGATAGATTTTCTATTTTTTTTTTTTTTTTGAAGAAAACTGGAATAACAAATATTGTTAAAAAAAATAGACCAGTAAAATTTTATTTTTATTAATTCGAATTTTCCTTGGATCTCCATCCAATAACAAATAATTATATTTTAGCTGATCTAAAACAAAGAATTCGACAGAAGCAGTCGGCTCACAAACTTGAAGAAAAGGGGAATACCCCTAAGAGCTCATCCAGCTTCTCCTCCTCCCAAAGTTCATCTGTGTCTGAGAAAACTGAAACCAAGGGAGGTAAATCAACGACAGTGCGTGAAGAGATTATGATCATAAACGGTGTGAAAACGACTATACGTGAGGTTCTAGTTGATGGTGTCGTTGATTCTAGGCAAGAACTTTAAACCTTAACAACTTTTTAAACTTTAAATTACTTTGAATCTTTGAACTTTGGGAAATGCCCCCCCCCCCTCCCTCCCAGCTCTAGGATTCAGTAAAAAAAAAGAGGGCGTATAGCTGGGTCGGACATATACCAGGGCCCGAGTGTAAGGTGTATTCTGTAAACGTATATAAAAATCTTCCCCCTTTCATCACATCAATTTTTTTTAAAGGTTAAAAAACTGTAGAAAAGTTTCCCCTTCAAAATAATGTCTTATCGCGTGGTTTTACAGTTTTTGAATTCAGTGAGATAGTTGAGGAAGAAGTTGTCCATTTTGTACCAGAAGAGGATAAAATGAAACCAGTAGAAGAAGAATCACCAAGCACCTCACACGAAGATAAATCGTCGAAAGACGAACTTTAAGCACCAACATTGCATTTAATTATTACATTTAAAGATAATATAATTGTTTACGAAAAACATAATTACAGAACACAACATTATATTCATAATGTTTAAAAAATGGATGTTTTGAGCAGTAGTTCCCTCAATTGTTATTTTTACAGTTTCAAAATGGTTTTAGTTGATATTTACACTAAACAAAACAGTTAGTTGTTTGACTTGAAACCCTGTGATATTTAGAACTGTTAAGTGTTTATCGATCTTGCACTGCGAAAATGTAAAGTTTCATTTCTTTTATAATTTGTAAAAAAAAAACAAGACACACATTTTTGCTTAAATCTCTTTCAAATCAATGTTATTAATGCACAGTACATTATCCTTATCGTTTATCGTATATGTACATGTATTTTTTTTGGTTTGGTTGCACAGTGTACACAAATATTGAAAACAACGAATTTATCAAATACCAGTACAGTGCTGTAAGTACAGTACAGTACAGTACAGTACAGTACAGTACAGTACAGTACAGTACAGTACAGACTAATCTACTAAATTTACATAAATTATATCTTATCAATAAATAATGTTGAATATCAAAAAGTTGTGATGAATATCTGATGTTTTAATTTTATATTTTCACTTTTCAGATTTATAATTTCTAGACATTATTAAACAAATGCAGAATTAAGTCCTGTCATGGTTGCCACCAAAAACAGAAAGGTAGGTGGAACACAGGGGTGAGATTTTGTTAAAAAATCATTTCCTCGCCATTTTGTAAATCATTTTACCCAAGATGATGAGCGGAGCGGAGCGCCAACATTGCTGACATTAATGAAGATAACTAAAATATTTTTAGTGGAAAATAAACGAATTTTTTGGTTACAAGTAACAGAAAGGATAAAAAAATCGGCCTTTTGATGTCTTATTTTCTTTTCGAGAGCATCAAAATACAAAATCATTCCCTCTCGGAGTATTTCTTTAAAATATATAACACTGGTGGAACAATAGTTCCAGGGAAAGCAGAGTTATATGATAAACATTCAAATTACCTCCTCCATCCCCTAATTAATTTTAAAGATTTTAACCTAATCGTTTCCCCTTCTCATGATGTGTTTTAATCAAAAAATCTTCTAAGAAATAATCAAAAATTAGAGCCAGATAATTTTCCATCTCTTTATGATACAGGGTGTCCGATCGTCGTTTTATGAGAAGCTTTTTTAGTATGGTGATAACTACTGAGAAAGCTGTATTTCGTCAAATTTTGGTTTGCTAGAAATATTACAGACACAGCATACAATATATCAAATTAAAGTAAACTAGTCCGTCTTCACTATAATAAACTCTAATAGACACAGAATACAAGATATCAAAATAAAGTAAACTAGTCCGTCTTCACTGTTAATAAACTCTAATAGACATAAATGAATATCACTTTAATAATGAGGAATTACATTGTTATTTCTTAACAAATACTGTCGCTTAACTCCCATGTTTATTTGGACACCCTTAACCTGGAATTTTCAAGCATAGTAAAAAAGTACGCCCTTGAAGTGATGTTTATCGTAAAACATGAAACGAGTTTAAAATTATTTATTAAAACTAGACTTTTAGGGCGCTTTGCGCCCATCATCTATTTCAACTTTTTATGGTGTTGTGTGAGCATCTTCTCTTTTTACAGTATAAAACAAAAACAAACAAAAAAAGTTTACGGATTTCATAATATTTTTCGCGCATTTTCAAAATTTTACTAAAATAAAAAACTTTTAAACGCAATTTTTTAAAATTTTGATTATTCATAAACCTTCCCTGGGGTTACGTAAGGTCCCACCAAAAATTTGGCCCGATCGGTTCAGCCGTTTTGACGTTTATTGGATACAAACAAACAGACAGACAGACAAGCCAAATTTATATATAGATAGATATCAAGTCCACAAATTTATATAAACTAGCCTTAGAGGGCGCTTCGCGCCCATCTTCTAAATTAATTGTGAACAATGTTCTCTTTGTGTACATCGTAAAACAAAACAAAAATAATTCGCGGATTTTCACAAAAATTTCGTGGATTTTCAAAATTTTAAAAAATTTAATGAAGATCGAATTTTGATTGAGACGAATGTTTGAAATTTTGATCATTCATAAACCTTCCCTGGGGTCCCTAGATGTCCCACAAAAAATTTGGGCCCGATCGGTTCAGCCGTTTTGACGTTTATTGGATACAAACAAACAGACAGACAAGCAAAATTTATATATAGATTGTTGACGAGAAAATTGCCAGGTTGTAAATACAATACATTGTTTAATGTTGATTTATAACTCTAAGATTAAATATGAGAAAAATAACACAGATTCCCAACAGTGATCCATTTATCATGACTTGAAAAATAATAAATGTCCAAGAAATTAAATACTTCACCATTCCTTACTATGAAGTTGTTTTGTTTAAAGTTTTAAAAACCTATTTTTTTTGCTTTTCTCAACATTTTTAAAAAAGCAATCCGCCCTCAACTCCCCCCCCCCCCCCATTGGTGGTTTTTTTAATTTTCAACGTTTTTAACATGTATTAAATCGTTTATCACAAGCTGTAAGGCTAAAAATCATTCTAAATTTATTTAGGTCATCTTGAGGTTGGATTGTGGTTAGTTGGACCTCCCTAATACTCTGATTTGATTTGATTTGATTTGATTTGATTTGATTTGATTTGATTTGAGATTTGATTTGAGATTTGATTTGATTTGATTTGATTTGATTTGATTTGATTTGATTTGATTTGATTTGATTTGATTTGATTTGATTTGATGCACGCTGAAGTATTTAATTCTAATTCTTATTTTTGATATTCTGTATAGGTTGGTCCGAATGGGACGCTGACAAGGAGAAAAAGATCCACACCGATGGTGTCGACATCTTCTGATACCGGTCAACCGGCGGTAACTAACCAATCTTCTGATACCAGAATGTCAGCTGATTCAAGCCAAGCATCAGAAACTGATACTAGTCAACCTACCGAAACATCTCAAACAGTAGGAAGCAAACCGTCCGAAAGTTCTGGAAACAGTACTCTAGCTGAAATCTCTGAAAGTGACCCCACTGATGTTATAGATGATAAGGCCTCCGAGTCTGAAATTGTTGATCTTGAAGCTGTCGAAACTGTTGATTTGGACGCCTCTGAAATTGTTGACCTTGATGCCTCTGAAACTGTTGACCTTGAAACCTCCGAAGCTGGAAATATTGATCTTGATGCCTCCGAGGTCATTGATATATGTAGTACCCAAGGTTAGCTTCTTCTTTTTTTCCGGGGTATCCTTCTTTAACTAATTAGAATATTCGGGGTTAAATGTTGACTTACGCGCGCAAGCAATTTCTTCCCCTTTTGACTTATTTACTTATTCCTTCTAATGCAGCAAATTTTTTCCCCTGCATTTGATACTTCCTAAAAAATATTCATCAATGATTCTTTCAACATATTTATTTTATTTTTGAAATTTATTAATTTTTTGAACGATAATATTTCTGTATTATAAATCTTTTTCCTGAAAGGGACTGAAAGCGTAATTTAAATTGACCATCCATGCAAAGATCGCAATGTCTAATTTACAACTGTACCTTTAAAATTGTTATCTGATCAAGTTTGAATTATATATGCATGTTATTGTTTCTTTAAACTGTTAGTTTTCATTTGTGGTTTCTCTGCTAAGTTGCACATTTCTTACTTATAATAAACATCAAACAATGGAGAAAATACTAGAATAACACTTTTCAAGTCAGAAAAACGCCATTTTCTCCCACATTTTTTGTCATATTAGCCCAGTAAAGGCTGAGGGGTCTGAATCTATGTATATATGGCGTCCCACGCCCCCCCACCCCCATAAAAATGGGCCTTAGAGAATAGGTATAGGGTGGTCCCACATAACGCATGTTCAAAGCCCCAATTTAAAAAAAAAGATTAGATCGATAACTTTAATAATTTGGGGCAAGGGAGGGTTGAAAAAAATGCCAAAAATTAGTTGCTTTGTTTCAAACAAATATCAAGTTGTGACACATGTTTCAAAGGTTTTCAAAATTATAGTTAGATCTGTAGCTTTAGTCACAAAAAAGATATGGGCTATTTTAGAATTTTTATACGGACCAGACTTTTTACAGCCCTGTACCCGGTACCCTATGCATAAAAAAAAAAAATTAAACTTCAAATTTCTATTCATTTAAAGTCAAAAAATTTCAAAAAACTTGAGGGGGGCGGTAAGGTTTCAAGAGTTCCATTGTAAATCGGACATTGTGATCTTTCCATGGAGGATCGCTTAAAATCACACTTACAGTCCCTTTAATATCAAATTATGTTTTTTGGTAAGCAAAGGATATAATCTAGGAAGCCTGGGTTTGAACTCCCCGAGGTCTAGGCTGAATGATCTTGATAACCTGGAGGACGACGAGGACGAGGAGATGTTGGAGTTGAATAGAAGCCTCGATGCTGACTGTTTACTAAGTCTAGATCACGATGAATCTGATATTATTAGAGCTGATGTAGAAGCTAATGAACTGGTAAATGAAATATATGCATATTGCGTATTTAAGTTGATGTGATTCTCCGTAAGTTTTCTTTTATCGAATTATGCAATATTTTCACTCTGTCAGAAGATATGAGATATTAACTCTATTCTGACTGACGTCTGGTTTACTCAAAATAGACGGGGGGGGGGGGTCACTTTGGAAAGCCCTTGGGGTCTAATTTGAAGAAAAAATGCAAATTTGCACAAATGAAATCACTTATTGCAAAATCTAGTAATTTAGCGAAGTATGTATAAAAAAAACTAGAGGGAAATATGACAAAATACACACTTTTGAAAAGCCCCTAAACACATATATATATATATATATATATATGCAAGAAAAACTGAAAATGTCCAAATTCTCTTTAAAGACGTCTGTGCAAAATTCTACGGAAAACTTCTTTGCAAAAATTGTGCAATCTGGTTCCTTTTGTATAAGCTTTCAAAAGCTATAAAATGTTGAAATCCAATGAATGGAAGTAGGTCTAAATATAAATTTAGTCTGTTAAAGGTAATATATGGCATTTAAGCAGTATGTCTGAGGACTAAGGCAGTAGGTATTTAAGCCAAGATTTTAGCCTAAATGTCAGAAAAGTAAAAAAATTTGAACAGTCTCAGGCTAATACTTTTTGAGTTATCGCAAAAAAAAACTATAGCGGGGAGGGGTCATAGTGACTCTCATTCGTAATAGGGTTAACGGAAACAAATAAAACCGTTGACGAACAGCTGATTATTAATTATTAATTGCAAACCATTGATATTTCTTAATTTATTTTGTTCATGGTTTCCTACTTCATTTTATTTTAGTCAAAGATTATCTTGACCAGTATTTAAGTCCAATCCAGTAGGTCCTCTAAATTTTGATAAGATGTTTGTTCAGGCTTTTAAGTTTTTAATGATTTTCTACACTTCTATATACAGTGAAGTTAAAGTTAATTTGGTTTATGACAGGTTAATAAAAAACAAGGTTTTTATTCCAGAAACAGAGGAAGGGTTACTTTGGAAAAATATTATGGGCACAGGGCAGGTCTTCTAATTTTACCTAAAGTTCTGGTAAAGAAATTAAATATTGTCAGTCTAAGCTAGATTTGAAAACAAATTGCAAGAAATAGTTTAAATAGATACGGCAAGTTTAACTTTTTCTTATTTGTTGGTTCTTGATGATTTCGGCTGCATTTTAGGTCTAGTTGAAAAGGGTTTAGGTATTTTAACTACTTTAAGTAATTCAACCATCACTTATTCATAAATCCCCATCTCTGATGTTCTGATTTAGGTTCAGCTGAGCAGTTTAACTTCAGATGTGATCATCCCAAGTATAGAAACCAACACCAGTATTATTGATATAGTTGATTATAACGACGAGGTAGGATATTTATCACGTTAATTAGGATTTTCTTTTTGAGAGAGCTTGAGATCCGGATCCGATGGATCCTCAACATTTTGACTTCCTGGATTAGGATCCGCCAAAAGATTGTAGATCTACGAATCATCTTTTTGCTCTCTAAACACAAATCTCAACTGATGAAAAATGAGATATTATTAAAAATTTCCTTAAATCTCAAATGTTCATCAAGTTTTGGCATAAATAAGCGGGGAAAAGAAATAGGAAAATTTTGTGAATTCTTGATTCTTTCGAAAACTTTTAAGAAATGTTTTTGAGGATTGATTTAAAATGAAAAAAAAAATATTGAAAACGAATTTTGCTAAGATTGAGAATGAGATAGAACTATCTAGTGATGAAGAAGAAGAGCAGGAGGAGGGAGAGATCAGCTTGGTAAATATTTAATGCAACTGTCCGCGTAGTTTGGAGTGACCCTGGATTTAAAAACTTACATGTCCGATTCACAATGCTATCCCAAAATCCTTTGTCTGACCAATATTCTTGTTTTCATTATTCATAATTTATAAATTTCAATAAAATGATTTTTGAATATATTCAGTAAAAAGTAAGGAAATAAACACAATTTTCAAACTTTAAACTCTGATGCTCTGATCAATCTTTAAATGATGTGATTCACATCCTTTAAACATTGTTGGATCACTGGAAATAACATCGACAACCCCTGTAGGTGCAATTTATCTTTATAATCCTAAATTGATTTGTAAAAAATGTAAAAATGACAATATTTCTTTGAAAAGATTCCCGCAATTGAGACTAGTTTGTAATGTCTGAAAATACTTTTTATTATTTTATGAACTTCCTAGTATTATTAATGTACTGTGGTATAAAGCAACTCCTTCTCATGTACTGTACTGTACTGTTCTGTCATCTGTGTGTCTAGGTTTGCTTAAAGCGACCTCTTCCCGTTGAAACCACTGTGGAGTGTCTAGAGATACTAGGTAACAACTAACAAGATATTTGGATTATTTACAACTACTCTGTTAATAAAATTGATTGGTTGATTGATTGCTTGATTTGGTTGTACTTGTTCGTTGGTTGGTTGGTTGCTTGGTTTATGTTATATTGGTTGATGAATAGGTTAATTGATAAATGATGAGTTTTTTGATAAATTGATTGACTGGTAGATTGATTGATTAGTTGATTGAGAGATTGACTTATAAATGAACTTATAAATTAAATGCTTGATTGATTGCGAATTTGATGGATAAGAAATCAATTGATTGAATGATTAGATTCTGACGAAGAGTTCCCTGTCTGCTTGGGTCCCCCTGCTCATATTGATACCGTAAATATAGAAGAGAAAAAGGGAACTATCAAGGTTAGGAACTACTTTTACTCCTTTATTCATTAACTAAGCAATATTAACTGATGTGTGAAGTGGGTGCTGTACACTCAGTGTACAGTGTACAGTTGTAATATATTTCAAATTACATTATATTTTTAAAGTTTGAATAATTAATTAATGTTTAAATATTTTATTAGGAGTATATTGAGAATGAAGGACTAGGAATTATACACTCAGAGGTAGGGGGATTTTATTATTTAAGAATATTCATAAATTTTAGAATAATGAATTCGATGTTAAATTATGATTTATCGGTACTATTTTTAAATCAATCTGATTTTATTATGAACTTTATGAACCGTTCAGAGATAAAGAAATTTTTTAACAATCTCTTTTTTTCAACAATTAAGATTTGGGTTTTTTCGGATCCGGATCCAGTAAGCCAAAATATTGCGGATCTAAAATTAAATCCAATTTGGAGAAATGTTTGAATTTAGTTTGGTTTGGTTCTGTTCCATCTTGAGAACGTGTGGGTTAATGGAGAGAAATATGCCAGGACAAAAACAAGGTATTTAGAATAAATACAAATAGTATATAAAACATCTGATTAAAGGGACTCTGAGCGTAATGTCAAGTGACCCTTTGTGCAAATAGGGAAATGCCCGATTCTAAACGATACCCTTGAAACCTTTATCGGATCAATATAATAATAATGTAGAAGATTTATTAGTTTTTCCTGGATTATATGTGCTTTATTCTGAAATCAGTTGAAATGCTCAAGTCACTTTTGAAAAGAACCAACAGTTGAAAATTAGGTTTTCAAAATTATAAACATTCATATCTATTTTATACTTTATCAGACAGAGGTTTTTAGGGTATCGTTGTGAATCAGTCATAGCCATCTTTTAATGGATATTTGCGTGAAATTACGCTTACATCCCTTTTAATTTTCAAATCCTTATGGATGGAAGAGGGAAGGGAAAAGGAGCAAAATTAAAGGGAAGGGAAAAGGTGGAAGAGGGAAAGGAAAAAACCACACCAAAAAAAAAATTTAAGTATCAGAAATGCTTAAAAAAACTCAAGGGGACCTTGAAGTTGAAATTTTTAGGTCACCAATACGCTCCATTATTATATTAAAATCCAAAGAACTTACTTCGAAAGGGTTTGCGCGGGTTGCATAAAAATATGATTCTGAAAAGGGGGGGGGGCAAAAATATGATTTTGAAAGGGGGGGGGGGGAAAATATGAGTTTGACAACTAATATACACCCCTGGTTTACGCCATCAAGTTGCACACTGGATTAAACACTTCGCGTTTGATGTTAGTTATCGGTTCCTCTTGGTTGTTTTCTTAGAACTAACAGTTTTGAATTTTCTTAATGCTTATCAATGAAAAAATTATCCGAACATTTAAGATCTATTAGTTAAGTAAGCAAGATTAACAATAGATAGAATAGAAAACTATTATTAAATATATCGTGTATGTATATCTCAGAAAATAAAATTATAATTGTCTCTTTTAGGAAACTATTACCGGTGGGAACAATCATTTCCTTCTATGATAGAGATTATGAAGGTAAGCATTGCTTAAACAGTCATTGCAGTGCGCTTCGCGCCCCATCATTTAGTTTTAAATGTTTATTATTGCTTTTATCGTAGAGCATTTTAAATGTTAAACAAGACAAAAAATGCACTTATTTTATATTCCTGAATGATTCCAAATTAAGGAAATAAATCTGAAACCTTCAGACCATTTTAAGTCAAAATTGAAAGGTCTCATCAGTATCAAATCAAGAAATAAATAAACAATTAACTTTGATCATGAAGTCTGTTAGTGCATTTACATCAGTTTACTGTAGTATACTGTGATATACTGTTCTATAGTATACTTCTCTGCATTGTATTGTACTGTACAGTGTACGACCATGTACTGTTTAGGCCCCGAGTACAGAATACTGACTAAAGAGGAGGTTTTACTTCAAGCTGTTGTTATCTGGGCAGGTACTAAAGCACAATCATTTTTAAACTAATTGTTATCATTTCATTTGATCATTAATTTCTAGGGGCGTACTCAAGAATTTGTCCATGGGGGGGCTTACATTAGTTTTCGATCCTGGCCTGAAAACCCCCTGGAAACTATCATATTAGACCAGTGCAGGGATGGGGGGTTGAGCCCCCATAGCCCCCCCCCCATGAGTAGGCCTCTGTTAATTTCTAATGTTGTAGGTCCAAGACCCAAGCATTTGATGAAAATAGTTGATAATCTAGATCAGACATTTTGGTAAGTTTATATTCAGAATAGTTTTTTTGTAAAAATATATTTTAATGAAAAAAAGCAAATTATATCCTAAATTAAAGGGACTGTAAATCTGATTTCAAGCGACCCTCCATTGATAGAGTGGCATATCCGATTAGGAACGGTATCTTTAAAAGCTTTGTCTTATCAAGCATGAATCCATAATCCATGTTTTTGTTTATTAAAACATTTTATTTTCATTTGGGTTTCTCTGTATAAGTGACTGGCGCATGTTTTGCTTTAGAAACACTGGAGAGTTTATCAGAATTAAATACTTTTCAAGGTATCATCCTTATTTTTGATCAGATTAAAGTTTCAAGGGTACCACAGGGAATCGGGCATGCCTCTGTATTTTCAAAAATGAGGATCACTTTATATTACGTGGACAGTCCCTTTAATTTTAATATTTTAGGGATACTCTTGAAGAGCACAGGAAAACTTTTCTTCTGTATCTTAGGGGCGAGGTAGGAGTTAAATTAATCGATAATTGATTTCCTGGAACATTTTAGCAGTGTTTGAGATATTTATTGATCATGACAACTATTTTTATTTATGTTCAGAGGCCCATTGATTGATCACTCTTTAATTTGATTGATCAATGATTCCTCACTATTATTTGATTTTAATCTAGTTTATTATTTAGGTTTTCTTACCGCTGTCGTTTGTCAGAATAAAGGGAACTGTAAAGGGATATTTGAACCAAGAGATTGGAATTATCGAGGTAAAGAATAAAGGGACTGTAAAGGGGTATTTGAACCAAGAAATTGGAATTATTGAGGTAAAGGATAAAGGGAATTGTAAAGAGATATTTGATCCAAGAGATTGTAATTATTGAGGTAAAGAATAAAGGGAACTGTAAAGGGATATTTAAACCAAGAGATTGGAATTATTGAGGTAAAGAATAAAGGGAACTGTAAAGGGATATTTGAACCAAAAGATTGGAATTATTGAGGTAAATGATAAAGGGAACTGTAAAGGGATATTTGAACCAGAAGATTGGAATTATTGAGGTAAAAAATAAAGGGAACTGTAAAGGGATATTTGAACCAAGAGATTGGAATTATTGAGGTAAAGAATAAAGGGAACTGTAAAGGGCTATTTGAACCAAGAGATTGGAATTATTGAGGTGACGAATAATGGAACTTAAAAGGGATATTTTGAACCATTGATAAAAGTATTATTGGAACACTTTCATTTGCAATTAAACTTTGTTTCAATCAACTCAGTTGCAATCAAATTACTTGGAATCAGTAACAATTGGAAACAATATCAGGGTGCAATCAAAATCAAATCCATTTTAAAATAAAGTAAATTTAATTTTGGTTTTTCTATAAAATTCACTTTGGGATTCATACAGCAGAGCCAATTGATTTTTATTGCAACTAAATTTGAGTGCCAACTAGTATGGATTTAAATGATTTTGAATGCATCTGATTGGATTACTGATTTTGACTACAATCGGCATTTATTGCAGCTGATTTTGATTGCAATCGTAGCGGATTGCAATTACGTTTGATTGCAACTAAGATGAATGAAACGAAGTTTGATTACAATTGAATTATTATTGAGGTTCAGAATTTAAGGATATTTGAACCAAGATTAAGATAAAGAATAAAGGGATATATTTGTTTAGATAGTTGATGAGGAAAGAGTGAGACAGAATGTTGTTTTCCATTCAGATGATGTTTGGATATTCAGGTTTATTTTAAGAACATGAGACCTAATTTCAACTGACCCGCCATTTATAGAGTGGCAAGTCCGATACACAACGGTACCATTTAAAACGTTGTCTAAGCAACAATGATAGCATTATCTATTTTTCTTCCTAAGATTTTATTGCATTTTCTGTATAAAAGGGAGAATGTGAATAGGGCATTTACTTCTATAAATGGAGATTCACTAATTATTCTTCTTTTCACAAGTTCTTTTAAATTAAGCACTTTTGATTTTTTATAATCCTTGTTATCATAATATGTTCTAATCTTTATAAATAACTTTTTATTAATCTGCATGTACACTGGTTCAGTGATAACCAGAAAACCATATGGAATAGGAAGACGACATTATATCAATAATTCAGTGTTTTTGATGTTGTCACAAAGCAAATACTTTTGCTAGACACTGATCAAATCATAATTTAGTAAAGAGTTTTTTAGTTATCACAGTAAGAGAATTAATATTCTTCTAAGAAAATAATTTTTTAATGTTTTCTGAGTTGGGGAAAATAGATAATTTTTAGGCTGATATAAATGAAATTTTTCACGTATTGAAAATCTATTGATTGATTAATATTTTTATAAACCACCGGTTTTGTGAGCTGATAAATTTCACATCAAGATAAAGATGATAAATCAGTTTATTTAAAAAAAGATTTAATAGATAAATAGTAAACTATTCTGTTTTTCTCAGTTGGACTGAATGTATCTGTAGATACCAGACGGATCCATATTCCAGGGGTAAATAGTCCTTAGTTTATAAATATATATATATTAGGCACTTTATTTGGTTTTAAAACCAAAGTTTTTTTTTAAGTTTTTCTGTCTGATTCTTTTGATCCATAACTTTCTAGTTTCTTAGTTCCAAATAGAACTATGATTTATATGTAGTAATTATGTTTAGTATTCACTTGTCTACAAGGCGATGATAAAGGTTCTTTCCAAGGTCGACTACAAAAGTAGTAAATTAACTATATATATTAGTATATTTTTTAAAGAATTTTCAATTATAATGCATCCAGAGATAGAATAAATAGTAATTAATAACAGACATTGTTTGGTAATGTAATGGTAGATACTAGAAATTAGAATTATTAGAAACAAGTTGACTTGTCTTTAAACCGTCTAAACAATGTTCGGTCTAGTGTCTAATCAAACTAATGTCTAAACAATGTTCGGTCTAGTGTCTAATCAAACTAATGTCTAAACAATGTTCGGTCTAGTGTCTAATCAATCAAACTAATGTCTAAACAATGTTCGGTCTAGTGTCTAATCAAACTAATGTCTAAACAATGTTCGGTCTAGTGTAATTGGCAAAAGTGTAATCTATTTAAGGCCTAAGACGAGATAGTCAACTATAAAAACAAGTCTAAAAATTAGCCTACATAATAAATTACAATTAGTTGTCTCATAAATCATTGCAAGGAACTTTTCAAGTCTTTGGGTTCAGATTGTGGTAGTAGGACATTCCTAAATTTATGATATGTACTCTTGTTTACATCCTGGAGTACTCAATACTTTTTTATCCTGACAATATATTGAAAAAACATGTTTACAAGATGGAGATAGAGGGTTAATCACAAATGATGAGACGACTGAACGAATTTTTTGCAGTCTTGCTACTTACATTATTTACCCCTTGCAGTTGTTTACCATAGTTCCTTTCTTTGCCAAATCATTTAGTATATTATCGACCCCTTGCAGTTGTTTATCATAGTTCCTTTCTTTGCCAAATCATTTAGTTTATTATTAAAAGCTTAAGACGAGGCAAAATTAACCCTCAGCTCGTCATATTTAAAGAGTTTAGGTCGTCATTAACCCTCAGCTCGTCATATTTAAAGAGGTCGTCATTAACCCTCAGCTCGTCATATTTAAAGAGTTTAGGTCGTCATTAAAGAGTTTAGGTCGTCATCAAAGAGTTTAGGTCGTCATTAAACTCTTATTCTTTGTGGTCAAACATGTAGATTCAGTCAACATTTCAAGATAGCCAAGTTTTATTTCAAATACACTCACTCAGGACAGACTCCTGCAAAACATGGAAAAATATAAAAATATAAAAATAACACCGGTTTAGATGTACTTAAAGTCCTCAAATTACTCAAAATATAGAATTTATTGACTACTCTACACCACAAAATATTTCGAAGATTGTACACTGAATACTATACAGTGTACAGTGTACAGTTCAGTATACTATAGAATACTTATTTTGTATGAATATTAAAATTTTGTATATTTTGTCTATAATTACAATTGTGGGAAGTAATTGTGAAAACATGTAAATCCGGGAATAAGGAGATAGGAGTTGAATTGATATAGAGCTCATTCTTGAGCTTAAACATGCGAAAAATTTCGTCTCAAAAAATATGCTTTTATGAGAACAAAACCAAACGGCATCGGCTTAGATCCAATAGTTCGTTAACTATAAAGCATGTGATGGAACAAGAAGGAGTTTTTATTTATATAATGTTATCTTAATTAATATGCACAAACAGTAACTACGATTATTTTTGATAAAGACGCAGCCCTTACTTCTGAGTGATAGTTGATGGTTTGTTTGTTTTGCAAAATATATTGTTTAGGTGAAAGATTTGGTTTATCAAGCTGTCTGTGTGTTTGCTGGAACCTGGCCGAAGTTTCCTCATCCTACTCTTATACCGGGTACGTTCCAGGTTCTTTGGTAGGTTCCAGGTTTCTGGGTAGGTTCCAGGTTCCTGGGTAAGTTCCAGGTTCCTGGGTAGGTTCCAGGTTTCTGGGTATGTTCCAGGTTCTTGGGTAGGTTCCCGCTTCCTGGGTAGGCTCCAGGTTCTTAGGTAGGTTCCTTGGGGGGGGGGGTTAAATCATAATGGGTTTCTGGATAGGTCCTAGGATCTTAGGTTCGTGGGTTCTAAATTCCTTGTTTGGTTGCTGATATATGATGTTTCAGAATTAATTGTATAGGTGGTCCTGGTAGCTATGCCCCTACATATGAGCCCCCTGAGGAGAAATCAACTTATTATTATCTGGAGCTAGCACTAGAGTCAACTCTAAAGAGAAAAGGTAAAATACAGATTTACTAAGGAATCGAATGCGTGTCACAAAATATAAATTTCTCTTTCTTATTTTCTTGCAACCTAATGTCTCGGACTTTTATTTCTGATAGATCCTTTATACAGATATGAAGATTAGAAAATAAGACTTTGAGTCGAGTAATCATTTCTTTTATAACGTTGCGGGATTATATATGAAAACGTACAAGCAATTAAACGTAACAGTTTTTTCCCTTCCTTTTTTTAATGCAACAGCTTGTAGATTGAAAATTTGCATGAAATTAACTTTTTTAGAAAGCTTCCTTCAGATTTTGTTATATTATATATACTCATCAATAGATATACTTCTGTTCGATTAGAACATAATAATTGATTGATTTAATTATACATGGTGAAGGAGTTCCTGTCTAAATATGGTGGACACCTTCTCTATGATTGGGAGTTAATTATTGATTGTTTAAGTATACATGGTGAAGGAGTTCCTGTCTAAATATGGTGGACAACTACTCTATGATTGGGAGTTAATTATTGATTGTTTAAGTATACATGGTGAAAGAGTTCCTGTCTAAGTATGGCGTACAACTTCTCTATGATTGGGAGTTAATTATTGATTGTTTAAGTATACATGGTGAAGGAGTTCCTGTCTAAATATGGTGGACAACTTCTCTATGATTGAAAGTTAATCATTGATTGTTTTTAATTAAATGTATGTGGTGAAGGAGTTCCTGTCTAAATATGGTGGACACCTTCTCTATGACTGAGAGTTAATTATTGATTGTTTAAGTATACATGGTGAAGGAGTTCCTGTCTAAATATGGTGGACAACTTCTTTATGATTGGGAAGGAGTTTGTGTTGTTAATAATCAGGTACTAAAATATTAATGATTTTTCCGTTTAAAAACAATATTAATATCCTTAACTTCAGCTTAAGAAATACATATTTAAATAGAAAAAGTTAAATACCGAATGCATTAGGTTTCTCAAAACATGGGGAAATATTCAGTTCTGAAGGTGAAGTGAAAGGAAATGTTTATTTGTCCAATATGACATAATTGTCTGAATTTATTGATAGCAAGATGTATGGCTAGTTCAATTAAAGGCAGGTAGTTAACTAACCTGTCTAAATCAAGCACTGCTCGCCAGGGGGTATAAAATTCTGCCCCCCCCCCCCCTCCTGGGGGGAAAATTGATGGAAGGTTGGCAAATAAGGAAGGAAAGGGGAATTTAGGGAAGTGAAGGGTTGGAGCGAGGCTCTTTACCTCTTCATATCTAACTTTTTCTGTAACTAGACAGTTTTTTACAAATATAGTTTTCCCCGATAGTTCTAATGCATTATGAAAAAACGTTATGAAAAGTTTTCGCGCTCCGCGCACAAACTCATTAAAAATTACGATTAAAGAATACTCCTTACTCAATCATCTTTCCCAAATCTCAAACATATTTAAAAAAATAAGAACAAGCAATATTTTTTGAGGACTTCAGAGAAAACACCAGCATTAAAATGATGGGAAATGATTTAAAGAAAAAAATACTCCTGGACTGACAAATAATCAATCAAAACTTCTTTGCCAGTAACACCATACCAAAAGTTTTAAAAAAATTGACTCCGGCGCCATTTATGCAAAATGTATCCTTATGGGGTTTAATATGCGCTGCATTACAATTCTTAAAAAATGATGTCTTTTTAATCGAATTTGGGGAAGGAAATTAAAAAAAAATAGAGGGGGGGGGGGGGAATGAATACCCCTGCTGCTCGCTTAAATATAACTTCAACTTTGGTATCAAGAAACGATGAAGGATGCTGAATATTTTTTTCATACATTTTACACTCGGCGTTGGGATTTGATCTTCATTAGTGAAGTAACTCAACTACATAGTTGGTCTGTTTTACCAACTTTAATTACTTTTCTTTTTTCATTAATTGAAAGGATATATTTATTAAAGTAATACAAGAACATAAGGAACAGTCATTAAATAATGTGTACGGTAGTTTCTGGGAGGAATGTAAACAAAGGTTAGTCTTGGCAGCACTACGTATGTTTACATATTCCGCCCAGAATCTATTGGCACACCCTTGCTTGTATGCATATATCCTAGGCGGATAAGGATGCTTGGAGAGAGACCATACAACCAGGAAGAAGGAGAAATACAAACAGAACCAGACCTCAACATAAGTAAGTTCTTTTTTATGACTTATAGTCCCACTTAACTTTAGAATATGAAGACGACCCTAGCCTAATATTAAACATGCATTGTTGCATTTGGGCCACATCCTAAATCAAACTGTTTATAGAAAATGGAATGAGGCCTGTTCATTTTTGAGAGGGTATTTTTAGTTTGTTTGAAGGTTGCTCAGTATCCATATAGATCCAGACTGCTAAGACAATGTGCATACATTTTTAAGACTGGGTCAACTTTAAAGTTTTGCAACACCTTGGCCTTTGCTTTTAAGTCCCTTTTTTGTAGCCCTATGAATTTTCAAAACAATTAAGCACTTGCTTTTAGCCTTTGTTTTTAAGAAGTAGTTGGCAATACTTTCAAGGTTTTTTTTCGGGGAAGCCTACAACATTTGGACCGGTGTGAGACTGCCCTTAATTAAATGAATAATTCTTGGATTCTATATCTTAAAGTTTTTCAAAACAGCTCTGAATTCAATAAAACAGTGTATGAAGAAAATTGGTTCCAAATCCTAATTAAAATATGAATCTAACGAAACTTGTCTCGAGTCTGTAGAGTGTGTGTAGACCCTTAATTCCTGTTCTTTTCATCCTCAACCTTTAAGTTATTCCAAGTTTTTGAACTCAGAAAAATATTTTTGCATTTTGATATTGGCAGAATGAATTTAAAGGTTTCTTAATGTTTTCAGGAATTGGGATGAGAAAAGACCGAATACTCATGCTTTCAAGGCTCCTCCTATTCGGAGATTCAAGGTTAATATATGCTTCTTTGTAATCAATGATATTAGAGTTTTTGTATTGATTAATTTTGTTGTATTGAATATTGATAGATGAGAAAATACTTATATTTTTGAATCGCAATCAACTCACATTGGCCATTAACATTTCATTTTCATGCACCATCCAACTCATACAACTCAATCTTCATTACAGAAATAATATGAAGATTTATCCCACTCACAGTTTTATTATAGCTGTTCATATTTAAATTTAAATTTAACTTGGGAACCCTAGTTTTAGTATTTTTCTACTATTATTGTTTTTATTATTTAATTGATGAAATATTTAGACTAAAGATGAGATGGATACAGGAAGTGAGATTGCTAACTGTGGAGGTAGTACAGCGGGCAGGTAACAAGATAATAATTATTTACAGCTACTTTACAGAGAAGTTAAAGGAATTTTAAGTAAAATTTTATACTACCCGAAAAATTAGAATTGTTTCCAAATGCGCTAATTTTTATCCGAAAACTTCGCAGAGCGGGTGTTTATTTTACCTTACTGTCCCAAGGAACGTTAGGTAACTTAACCTCTGTTGGGGTAATCAAAGGTCGGTAATGTTGGTAAAAAGACGGTAAAATATTTGTTCCTTTATAAAAAAAAGTTGTTATTTTTGGTGCGCAAAAATTTTCATTGAAACCAGCTAATCTAAAAACTTATTTATTCATCTTTTCCTTGTTAAAACCAGTTCTTTACAAAGGAATTTTATTTACTCTGAGAGTTAATGATACAAATAAAGGATTTTCTGTTACGGCAACTTAAAGGAAGTATCAACGCAATTTTAACTTAAAGGGAGTATCAACGCAATTTTAAGAGACCATTTATTAGGATAGTGACGTGCACCCTTATCTGAGTAGAAACTAGCAAGATGTTCTAATCTCAAATAGTAATTTCTGGCAAATGTTTTAATGGTACCAATGTAACTAGTTGAATTTACAGTTATTTGAATTTGAGTCGCCAGTCCCTTTAATACTGTTTTTAAAGAAACAATGAATTGATCATCAGATTATTTGACAGACAGGCGCGCGACTAGGGGGCATGCCTTAAGAAGGATTTCCCCCCTCCCCTTTAGGGGGGGGCAAGAAGATCTTAACAGGGGTTCATATAGTTCCAAATATAACTAATTTTCTTGAAAATTTGAAGAAAAAAATAGGCCCCTCACAGTAATTTTTTTATAACCTACACTCATTTATGGTCCCAACCCTTAAAGCAAACTCAAATTCCACCTTAACATTTTTCAATATAAGCTTAGATTCTTTCAATTTTTTCCCCTTACTTAAAAAAATGCCCCAAATTGGATTTTTAAAATTATACTCACACATTCTGATTGCTTGTGTCACGTGATTGACAGCTGCGAGATCTTAGGCTCGACTTAAGGAGTTAGGCCCAATGAAAATAAAACCGACCTTGGTTGGATTTAATGGAGAATAAGGCTCAATGTGGAATCTTGTTCTCTTAAAAACCCGGAATGTGCCAATTCCTACCATGACAATCCGCTAAATACATTATTAAACCGGTTTTATGAACTCAACTCTTTGGAAAATTAGATGCAACTTTAATCTAGAGTTTTTGAAATCGCCGGCTCATTTTAGGAATGTACAATATAAAAATAATGATGATTGAAATCAATATCAAATTTGACGAACCCTCTAAAGGGGATGGTGGAGATGTCCTATTTTTGGTTCTAATCTTCCAATTTTTAGGCTGCACGTCTAATTTGTGTTCGCAGTTCCTAAAATAAAATTAAATTGGAATCTAATTACATCGACAAATAGAAAATGTATTAATTATGGCATATAAAACGAAAGCTAGAAACCCAAGGAATACAGTATCAGTAACAAATCCAGTATTTGACCTTCTATCAACTTACTAATGACCTCTAACGACCTATAATGACCTTGAAAATTTTAACTACTGCTTCTAGATATAGATACATAATGAATAACGAGGAGAAGAGAGGAGAGGAAGATGAGTAGGTCTTCTCTGGTTCCAGAATCTAACGCTACTGATTTGTGGATTTTATAATCCTCTTTCGGGGATTTCATCCCCTACAGAACTTAATCTGTTTCAAAAGGCACATGAAAATATTTTTCGAAATACAATGGTGTCCCAAGCTTTCTAATGTAAATCTTACATTTGATGGCGGTTTTTGTTTTCTCTCACGCTGATCCAAATGTTTGTTAGGGTTTTATCAGGTTTCAAGTTCTTCCTGTGTCAGAATAATTTCTCCTGCGAATGTAAAAACTATAAGCAACTAGTTTTCATTGTGGTTATTTCAGAGTTAATTAAGATTAGGTTTATTAGATAATAACCCTTTAAGTGTGTCCCGTGAACACTGCGGACTGCAATTCTTCCTTGATTCTGTAGAATGATTGCATGTAGATCAGTATATTCCTAAATTAGTTAGAAGTCAGGTCAGGAACGATCTTATTCTTTTGAAGAATAATTATTGAAATGTCATAAGTATTCACCTTTTGGAATTGATCTTGATACAATCCCTTAAGAGCAACAGTGATACGTAGCACAGAAACGATACGTACAGTCGTCTTTAGATACTTTCTGCCTGCATAGGAATTATTGTTAATCTAACGTTTAACAAAAGTTATATTTAAACAATACCTGGAAGGTTTTCCAGACTAGCTGTGTGCTGTAGATCACCGTATGATCCCGTTAGATCGGCCGTGAGATCTTTGTTAAAGCTGAGTGAGATGTAGATGTATCAAACTAGATAGGAAGCCATGGTAAAGATGTCTGGTATCAGTCCAGTTCCGTATCTAAAGATAAATCAGTTAAAATCATGTTTCAACATCAAGTATCTTCTTCAAATGGTTATTTGTATTAAGCCAAAACAGTTTCCACTTTCTTTCGCCATGACGAGGTGGCATATCAATAAGTTCTGTTTATTGACCTGCTTGTGTTTGTGAGACAACCCTAGCCTCATTTGGAGCCTCAAGAACTCTGGGTTATACTGATCACTCTTGATGATCAACTAGATTAAACAACTGCAATACAATTATTGAATCTAATGCTTTATATGATCTCCAAACAAAGTTTTGATAACTATTTTGTACCTTGAATGTCATTTGAATTAACGGATCACTTATTGAGAGAGGATTAAGGAGCAAGTCTTTACTGATCTTGATCTTTCATGATCATCTGCGACATGAGGATCATTATTTACCATGAAAGCTTGGGATTAAATATTACATGTTCACAGTTTTAACATTTAAAATGTGCCAATATTAGTTTCCTTTAAGATGCTCGATAAAAATCTAGTTTATAATATATCTTTGTTGACTTTAAAAGTCACTATATTAAAACAAAGCGATCTAAAATGGATATTTCTTAACATTTATTTTTTAAAAAAAAAATTGTTTTGAAATATTTGCATAAGACATGGTTAAAATTGGTTAGTTTAGAAATTAACAAAGAAATTATTGACGAACAGCAGTAGTAACATCATGGGAGTTTTGTAGAACTTCATGTTGGTGGTGCAGATCGACAGGAACTGGAACAACAGGTTTCCACTCACCCCAGGCTTTGGATAAGGAGGGGGAGAGATCGCGGTTTTATCATGCTGGATTTGAGCGATTATGTAGTCTCTGGAATGCATGATAATTTTGGAACTCTTGGAACATAATTGGGCTGGATGTAAGCATCGCCTGTTGCTAGCTAGGTATCTGTATCATCATCATGAAGGAGCCAGGGTTGCTCCCTGAGACAGAGTTGTGATCATCTCAAGTGTTTCAATCTGACTGCCGGGCCGGGAAGTGTAGAGGGGACGGAAGGGCGAGGGTGACATGTGGGCGGAAAAGGATTCATATGTCTTGAAACAAGCAACGGCATCAGAGTCAGTAAAATCGTCTTCCTTATATTTCGAATTTGTGTTAACAATCTTAGTTTTTAAAATACAGAATAAAATAACATTTTGATATTCTTTTAACTTGAAAATTGACAGGATTAAAGGCAATATTCTTTCTTTTAACTTGAAAATTGACAGAATTAAAGGCAATATTCTTTATTATTTAATCATCCTGCATATATAGTTCTTGAGTGGATCCCACTGGTATAGCCTTCTTCTTTCAGGCTGTAGTTTATCCTAAAATAATAGTTTAGACCTTACAAAACCATAGTTAAAACATTTTTATTTTAGAGGTCATTAGAAGATCATTAGAAGGTCAAACACTGGATTTGTTGCTACTACTGTATTCCCTGGAATCCTATCTTTCGTTTGATATGCATACAGCCATAATTTCTAATTTTCGAGGTCATTAAAGGTTATTAGAGGACATTAGTGTCCAATTTTATTTTAGGAAATTCGAACACAAATTAGGCGTGCAAGCCTTCACTTTTGGTTCAAATCTTCCAATTTTTTTGGCTGCAACCTAAATTGTGTTGGAATTTCCTAAAATAAAATAAATTGGATACTAATGACCTCTCATGACCTCTAATGACCTCTAATGACCTTGACAAATAGAAAAGTTTCAACTATGGCATTATGCATATCAAAAGAAAGCTAGGAACCCAGGGAATTCAGTAGCAGCAACAAATCCAGTGTTTGACCTTCTAATGACCTCTAACAACCTATAATGACCTCTAAAATGAAATTTTAACTATGGCTTCATGCATATCAAACAAAAGCTAAGACTAGTAGTAGTAATGAACCCAGTGTTTGGCCTTCTAATTATCTCTGATGGCCTATAACGACCTTTAATGACATCTAAATTGAAAATATTTTAATAATGCTTTATGCATATCAAAGAAAGCTATGAACCAAGGTTATACAGTAGCAGCAATGAATCCAGGTTTTGACCTTCTAATCACCTCTAACGACCTATAAAGACCTCCAAAATGAAAATTTTTCAACTATAACTTGATGTATCTCAAATAAAAGCTAGGTACCAAGGCAATACAGTAGTAGCAATGACCCCAGTGTTTGACCTCCTAAAGACCACTAATGACCTTCTAAATACCTCTAACGACCTTCTATGAATTGAAAATGTTTTAACTATGGCTTTATGCATATCAAACAAAATTTAGGAACCAAGGCAATACAGTAGCAGCATTGAATCCAGTGTTTGACCTTCTAGTCACCTCTAACGACCTACAATGAGCTGTTATTTCCCTCCTCCTTCCCCTCCCCCTAAAATCATTTTACCCTCTTATCCCTCCTCTGTAAAGTTACATGAACATGTTTGTTGTCAACATTGATCTATTTTGATTGCTTATAAAAAAAAAAACATATTTATTGGATACAAATGTTACCAGTGTTATAATTATTGTAACACAATTTGATTTATTTGTTTTAATTTTTTCATGTTTTCACCGATTCCTCAATTTATTTTGACAAAATTGCATACACATTTACAATGAAAAGAGTTATGAATTTAGAGTATTTACTCAATTGCCTTGTTCCAAGCTTACATTTGATAAGCATGATGCCATAGTTTTAACATATTTATTTTAAAGGTCATTATAGGACGTTAGAGGTGATTAGAAGTTAAAAACACTGGATTCATTGCTGCTACTGTATTGGCTTGGTTCATAGCTTTCGTTTGATGTGCATAAAGCCATTGTTAAAACATTTACAATTTGGAGGTCATTAAAGGTCATTAGAAGTCTTCAGTTTCCAATTTTATTTTAGGAAATTTGAACACAAATTAGGCGTGCAGCCAAAAAATTGGAAGATTTGAACCAAAAATGAAGGCAGGGCCCCCCCCCCCTCATCAAATAGGACAGCTCCACCAGTTTAAAAATCCTAAATCAGTGTTGACGCCTTTTTATTTTAATTTTGAGCAAGAAAATCTGAACATTAATCAAACTTTTATTTTAGTATTTCTGGAGTGAGTTCATTGTGTTCTAGAACACACAGTAGAAGTTCAGGATATTCGGATGCAAGTAGGTTCTTTTACATCGATCTAACCCCCCCCATACCACTTTAAATATTGCCTTTTTTAAATGCAGGGTTACACAAACAAGATAAGACATTAATGACGACCTACTACTAATTGAATTTAATCGTCTTCTGCTTTGATATTAGTATTATGGTTTCCTCAATAGTTCTAGCAAGTTTACAGTGTCTGGGTACCAAGTATCTATATAGATAAAGGTTCTATTTCCGTTTGTCTATTTGTATGTGAGATCATAACACCTGATTCCCTGGACTGATTTGTCTCAAATTGTTCTGGGGAACTCGGAAGAACCACATGAATGTTCTTACCTTGCTTTAAACATTCTAATTTAAGTTTTTTGACTTGCATAGCGAAGGTAGACAATGCTGGGCTTCTAAGCTAGTATAAAAAGAAATTAATATATAGAATAAAAACTTAGTAAGCTCCCAAGAGATTTCTCTGCAGTCTTGTCATTTGTGGGTAACCCTGTAGCTAAACAAAGTATTCATCCCTATTTCGCATTTCATTTTTTTGGTTAAAATTAAAAATGTTTCATGAAAATTAACTAAATTTTTTGTTTATGCAGAAACGTCTTATCTTCTCAAAGGTAAGCGTAAATGAGTACAAGTCTATGTACAGTTGTAATTTATGTAATATTCTTAAGTGCATGTCTAGTTTATCTGCAATCTGTATGTTTAGTTGCACTAAGTTGTTTTTTGTATTTTTTTAGAATTAGCAAGTTAGTTAATATCAAATCTAAATGACGTTTATAGAAATGTTGCATCTGCTAGAGTATATTTAAATTATGTTATTTATACATGCTTGAGACAAATGTATATATTTGATTGGTTTTGATTTTGCAAGATAAACAGTGAATAGAAGCAATTGTATTTTTTTGTTAACAGGAGTTTTCTTATTTCATTATATTGCACTAATAGTATGCAATCAAAATATTAAGAAAAAAATCTAAATTCTAGCAGATAAAATAATTATGGATACAGCTCTCCTGGTAGGTATCTCAATAATAAATCAAAAATTCTCTACAAAGATGTCCCCAAAATCGGCACTCTATTCCTGATTTTCTGCTTATTATATATTTCTTGAAAGAATGAATATGAATAAAAACCAGTTTTTTAAACGGTAAATGTAAATTTAAAAAAGTTAAACATAATCCAAGTGCATGAAAAGTTCTATCTTGCACTATATTGTTTATTTTGTGACGCTTTATTCTTCATTTTTGATTTAGCAAAGTCACTTCGAGTTTTGAGACCTCCAGAAATGCTTGATTTGATTTGATTTGATTTGATTTGATTTGATTTGATTTGATTTGATTTGATTTGATTTGATTTGATTTGATTTGATTTATTCGATTCGATTCGATTCGATTCGATTCGATTCGATTCGATTCGATTCGATTTGATTTGATTTGATTTGATTTGATTTGATTTGATTTGATTTGATTTGATTTGATTTGATTTGATTTGATTTGATTCGATTCGATTCGATTCGATTCGATTCGATTCGATTCGATTCGATTCGATTCGATTCGATTCGATTCGATTCGATTTGATTTGATTTGATTTGAGGGTCTTTTTTATTATATATTTCATGATCAAGTTTTCTAACTGTTATCTTTATTAAAATGATTTTAAAAACTTTTTTATGAAATGATTTGCCAGAAAAAAAAACATTTTTCTTCAGATAATCTTCTTCCTTTTATTAACATTTATTATCTAAGATTAAAATGAATGATTCTCAAAGTGGATCTGAAAAAAAGTTTTATTTTTCTTGATATTTCTTATATCATTGATTATTTTTATTTTATTTGTTAGTAAATTTCAATTTGAATGAAATTAAATAAAATTAAATTAAAATTATAATCTTCTTAGTTTTATCTTTGATTTGATTATGATAAATAAGATTAAAAATATAATATCTGTAGGTGGGTCTGCTCTGAAAAGAACCTGGTTTAATTCTGCTCACGGCGGACTAAGGTGAAAAAATTTCTATTCACTCAAATAACGTCAAAATTTTTCTCAAAATAAATTTGCTGAAACACCGAAACCAAATTCAGCTAATAGCATTATTCTCAAAATTTTGTTGAAAGACATTTATCATTCATCAACCATTTGAAGTCCTGTTAAATTAATAAATGTTAAAATTTAAATGTTACATCATTGTAACAATAAAATACTAAAAGAATTAAAATGAATTTAATTATTGTCTTTTTATTTTCATGTCAATTGTATTTTAGGGTTAAAACTGAGATAAAGACTGAGTACAATGAGTTTGATGAGAGTGGTGGATTTATTTCTAAACGGATTAAATTCGAAAGTTAAATCGAAGAAGAAGATCTCCTCTAGAAGACAGATACAGTGAGACTCGTTAATCACTCAGCTGCCAAAATAATGCTGTCCAAAGAATAATGCTCAATTTTTTAGAATCCTGTTCAATATGGAAACATTATTATTATTTTTTGTGTATTTTAAAAGTTCAGTACCATGAACTTAATCGCGTTCAATGTTCAAAAGCTAACAATATCTACTGTACACTACACTGTGCAGTACAACTGTACAATGTTGTACGCACCAAAACGACCTTATCTGTACTGTACACACATTTTTTTATCATTTTTAGACACTATCCACTGATACAGGCAGCTTGGTCCTGAGAAAGAAAATTTATGTTGGTTACGTCTTCAGTGTACATTCTTTCAGAAAAAAGTTTCCATTTTTTTCAACTTTTTGTAGTTTTTGCATTTATTTAAATTTCAATTAGCCTTTTCCCCTTCCTATTATAGATGTGAGAAGAAAAACGAGGTACAAAATATTACATGCAGATTGCAGATTGCAGATTACAAAATATTACATGCAGATTGCAGATTGCAGATAAATTACAAAATATTACATGCAGATTGCAGATTGCAGATAAATTACAAAATATTCATGCAGGTTACATACTTTTGATTTCGATGTCAAAGCATGTGTTAAAGAAAATACTAAGTCAGTTATGTTAAATTTCAGTGATCATATATATTTAAAAATGTGAATTTTTGTTGTTGAAATAAATGTTTACTGAGCAATGTCTCTGTGTTTCTTAATTTGTTCAGAGCTGGGAACTTTAGAATGGTGGATATCAGGATTAATGCTTAATCCTCTGTTTTTGCTAATCTCGAGACTAACATAATCTTGAAATTATGTAAGTCTCAAGATTAAATATTTAAATCAACAAATTGGAGTCTAAGAAAGCCAGATTGGTTCGTTTTGCTTGACTAGAAGGACCTTTTTTATTTCTTACCCTTTTATTTATTAATATACGAGTTAAAATGTGTTACAAAAGAATCTCAAACGTATTATTAAATATTTTTCTTCACCGATTAATTTACAAAATGGCCGACAACAAATTCTTCATTTGTCAGAAATTGCGGATTTCTCTCATATGATAGAATTTATTTTCAAGGCTGTCATTGGTAAATACAATTTACGAACTATACGCCTGCACTCACATTGGAGAAAACAATGTACGGATATCCAAATAGAGAGAAAAAGAGTGGATTAAGCTCTAAAATTAAAAGTTCCCACAATGGATATTCGGATTAAGTAGTTTGTATTAATGGTATCCCATTCTAAAGTTCCCAGCTCAGTATTATTATGTCATGTTTAGTAGTTTAGCGACATCTTTCTCAATATGCTCAATATCAAATTCTAGGATGATCATTTTAGGAAAGTTTTTGAGGAGTTGAATGCTTGTAATAAAGGTTTGGTAATCTACCAGTTGTGAGCCTTAAATTTAGTTCAATAATACTTTTTTTAATGTGTTCAATATTATATTCTTCAACATATGTGCGTTGGTTCAATAATATTTTTTTTTAAATCTTCAATAAAATATTCTTCAACATATGTGCGTTGGTTCAATAATATTTTTTTCCTCAAATCTTCAATAACATATGTGCGTTGGTTCAATAATACTTTCTTCCTCAAATCTTCAATAACATATGTGCGTTGGTTCAATAATACTTTCTTCCTCAAATCTTCAATAACATATGTGCGTTGGTTCAATAATACTTTTTTCCTCAAATCTTCAATAACATATGTGCGTTGGTTCAATAATACTTTTTTTTCTCAAATCTTCAATAACATATGTGCATTGGTTCAATAATACTTTTTTCCTCAAATCTTCAATAAAATATTCTTTAACATATAATGTGCGTTGGTTCAATAATACTTTTTTTCTTAAATCTTCAGTAAATGTGGCGCATGTTCAACAATACTTTTTCAACGTGTCAAATAACATATTTCTCAATTTGGTTCTATATTACTTTTTTAATGTGTCCAATAACACAGTCTTCCTTATATGTGCGTTGGTGGAATAATACTTGTGTTCAATTATATCCAAACTGAAGATTATCTGAGTATAGTTTGTCTCTAAAAAGTGACATGTTCACAAGTTCCATGACTTTGAAGATCAGGGAGGACATAGGAATAGCACAATAATTTTCAGAGCTTGTATCTTCCTTCAAGGGTCCTTTAAGCAGTACATCAGGAGCATATATCAGTGAATCAGATTTAAATTGTTCAGATACATCATTCTTGCTAGATTTCAAACTTTTTTGCAGCAGTTTTCACAATATAATGGATTGATAACTGACAATTGATTTTCATTAACTGTTCCTTGTAATCTTTGCTTCAGAGAAAGAATATCTTCTTTATCATCAGCTGAGTTGTAAATATATTTAGTATGTACAGTAGTAATCAGAAAAATTTAGAATAGGAAGACGACATAACAGCAATACTTAAGCGTATTTTATTTTGTTTCAAAGCAAATAGTTTCATTAGTAACTTATTAAAAAAAAATATAAGGGGAAGAGTCTTTTAGCGCTGCAAAATTACTGTATTTCATGCTAATCGTGCTTTTAAAGTTATAACTTTAGTCTTAAAGTCGTCTTTCAATTCCAAAGTTTTCTGGTTCTCACTGTATATACCAGAAGCTGCATCCACATTGTTTGGAGCTGCTTTATGGTGAGCAGATTTGACTTTTTTCAATCTTGAAGAAGCTGCTTATTTCCCGAAAGAGCAGCATCAGAAAGTTTGCTGGATCTTATAGTATCAGCCAGATTCTTGACTCTTCTTACTGAGTAGTGATACTGGTTTTTAGATCAACTCAATACATTGTGAAGCTCAGAATTAACTGGTCTGCCTGCACTCATCCAGACAGAACTATTCCTGTATGGTTCAACATGTTCTTTCCATCCTGGAATATTTTTATCTATAACATCTCATTAGGTCTTGTTTTGTGGACGAGTAAGCGGTATACATTCCTGTCCAGATCACCTCACCTTCACCTCCTCCTATACTTGGAGAAGTCCCAATGGAAACATCTTCTCTGTTTCTATAATCCAGGACTGCTGCTACTGAGCAGATAAAAGTGAAGATTAAATACGAAACTTCTCTCAAGATTGAGGTCTACTCAGGTCTAGTTTATAACTTAATCTTTTTTGTTTGATCCTCTCTAACCACACTGAGAACGTGGACGAGCCCTTCTTTTCTTCATGATGATTATATAAGTACCAACTGGACCCAAGCTACTGATGGGATTCATGAAGGTATAATGATTTAATCAAGTTTCCTGTGATCAGTGTGAATTACTAATGAAAGAACTTTTTGTTTGTTTTCACTGGTTGGCTGGATGATAAGTACTATCCCGAATGGATCAAGGGCCTTACCTGGATAGAATATAACGTGTGTTTGTATCTTGCACTTAAATCTAAGCTGCAATAAAAAGTTGTATCAAATTTATATCACTTACTCAATATACTTTTTTGTAGCCCTGAATATGTTCATTTTAGGATTATAAAAGCATTTTATTTAAACGTTAATTATCAAGAAGTAAATGGAAAATTTCTTACCGATTCTAAGTAAGGGCCAGCTAGCATTTACTGCCTTTGGATTGCTGATAATCATGTTTTAGGAAATTCTCTCCTTTTCAATCAAGCGCACTCCTTTTTCTCTCTACTAATTTTGAATTGAATGTGTTATGTAAGAATAATAGAATTACTTATTCCTAAAATTTTAATGCCAGGATAATCTTTATACCTGCTGACAATCAAATTTTATTACAAGTTCTCTTAGTAAACTCTGCTCCCGCCACTGCCCTACCAATCACAGAAGGAGTTCAGGATTGTTGAGTTCTCATTGGTAAAAGCTGGCGGCACTAATAGAAGTATTAAGGTCGGAAGAAATATTCAAGAGTTGTCGTATAAGTCATTAATACAGCGACCNTCTCATTTATCTTTCAGAGTATTCCTTTATAATCCATTCTTCTTCTCTTTCCTCTCTATTATAGCAACATTTTTTATCTTTTTTATTTTCTGTCAGCTACATTTAGCTTTTCATCTATTTACTCTCAGCTGCTTCTAGCTTATCATTTATTTACGTTCAGCTACTTGTAGCTTTTCATCTATTTACTTTCAGCTACTTCTAGCTTTTCATCTATTTACTTTCAGTTACTTCTAGCTTTTCATATATCATCTATTTACTTACAGCTACTTCTAGCTTTTCATCTATTTACTGTCAGCAACTTCTAGCTTTTCATCTATTTACTTTCAGCTTTATCTAGCTTTTCATCTATTTACTTTCAGCTACTTATAGCTTTTCATCTATTTACTTACAGCTACTTCTAGCTTTTCATCTATTTACTGTCAGCAACTTCTAGCTTTTCATCTATTTACTTTCAGCCTTATCTAGCTTTTCATCTATCTACTTTCAGCTACTTCTAGCTTTTCATCTATTAACTTTCAGCAACTACTTTTAGCTTTACATCTATTTACTTTCAGCGTTATCTAGCTTTTCATCTATTACTTATCTATATTCCTTTTCTCGCTTTCCCCCCCCCCCTTATATCTTCTCCCCCTTTTTCTATGTTTTGCCTTTATCTGCTCTCCTGCCTCTCTCAAACCCCAAATGATTAAAATCTATTAATCACAATTCTTCCTTTATGCCTATTCTCCCATCAATTATTTTCTACTTTACTTGCTAAATATTTTTAGGAGTCAAACTTTATATAAAAAATACTTTAGAAACAGGAAGTAATATCAGCATGGTGAGGTTTAATTGTGTTTACACATTTTGTAGATTTGACAATGCTGTGTTTTTATATAAAAAATAGTAGTTTATTATAGTAAATCATACTCTTATTGAATCAGTGTATTTCAAGGATTTTATAAAATCTTTAACAAAATTGCAAACATGATCTTTTGGTCTCTTTTTCTTATCTGTGTTCTCTGTGCAGCAGATTTTGTTTCCTAACTGTTTTTTGTCTTTTGTCTTTCCCTATATTTCTTCTGTTTGTGTATCTCTATCCATTGTGTTTTATCCTCTGTAACATCTTCTCTCTTCATCAAAATGGCATGATACCTCCTAATTTAGCAATACATAAGATGAAAATGTCTTAAGACAGTTTCATTTTATTATAACTATAATGCATGAATGTCAAAACACAAAAAGGACGCTTTTTTATCATTCTATTATAGCTGCCAAATAATACAATTATATTATGATTCTATTCGACTGTAATATTGAAATACTTCTTTTTCTGAATTTTCAAATTCCTCAACCATGGACTGAATTTCATTAATTGGAGAGGTCGCTGAACTACCACAACCGGTTCAAATCTTAAATCTCCTGGTCAAATCCTCATGAATCTTTAACTTTGAATCTGTTATTTAATTTTGAATCGGTAGTAGGGAATTCAGCGACTTAGCTCAAATTCATCAAATTCGGACCCAGGATGCATTCATATAAATGATATTTACCCCTCGCTGCAAATTTAAAGAATATTTCTCTAGTCTAGATATTTTATTTTTGAGTCCGTTTTAGTCAATTCCTAACCTCCCTGTAATACCCTCACGTTTACCATAAAATTATATATCAAAGGAACTGAGTTTTTGCCACAAACTCAAATTTTACTATTTTTATATTTTTGCAACCTGATGGTGTAAACCTTTGATATTTCCAACTTAGATAATTTGGTAAATATGATTCATTGTTTGAAATATCAAGGGCCTACTACATTCAGTTGTAAAGCTATA